TGGAACCACGTCTGCAAAATTCTTCCCTCTACCACCTTTGCCAGCCTCTCCATCTTCAAAAGATCTCTTAAAGCCACTTACGCTAACTTGCTTACGGCAACATTTGACGTGGACATGCCATGCACCTGGACACTGGTGCGGGACTGCCCCTGCCACAGATCTTAAGTAGTTTTGATAGACGGTTCCTCTTATTGTGTTCACTGAATGCAACCACATTATGCTTGTGAGTTTGAAATTATTATGCTAACACATCCGTGAAGCATTCATTATGCTTGTGAGTTTGAAATTATTATGCCTGCAATACATCCGTGAAGCATTCATTATGCTTGTGAGTTTGAAATTATTTTGCTAACACATCCGTGAAGCATTCAGGTGGTTGCGTTCATGGTCATACTAATAGGGGGAAGCGGCTTTTATATATTTGTATTTTATGTATGTGTGTATTTATATTTATGTACGTATTCGCTGCTTCGGGGTTTGCACCTTGCATGGGACTTCGCGTCTCGTTTGTGCTTATGCCATTTGAGTTCATATTAATTATACATAATATTAATTATATATAATTATATATAATATTAATTATATAATGTAATGTTCTCAATAAATATAATATATATATTACAAAACGGCAAATTATCGGTAATTATGTTTGTAGTTTTTCAATATTTCCCTTTTAGCTAAAGTCTTGAAATTTCTACACCAAATAGAGTTTTTCAATAGCTTCAATTTGATATATAGCCCAACGTTCAGTGTTGAGTATTTCTGCTCATAACTCAGAAAAACTAAAATGCACTGGCTTCAATTTCCCCCCCTGAGTTAGCCTTCCAGTTTATTTATAGTTCAATGTCTGTTGCTAAGGCCCATTCCCCTGGACTATTCGCGCGGACGTTGCATTTTTCGCGCCGAAGTCAAATGAACATGGCGGACGACTTGATGAGTTAGCGATATTTTGACCACTTTCTGCACTAGATATTACCTGGTTTTTACATATAATATTATAAAATGGTTTCTAGATTTCAAGATAAATTTAACGAAGACTTGGAACTAATATACGCTAAAGTAAGTCTATACAAATACGATATTCATAATAAAAGTTAGCGGTTTAATATAGCTATTAAATAGCTATGTAATATGAGAATGTGACAGCACTTGGATCAGAACTGGCACATTTTATTAACCAATCAATTAATTAAGGGGTGATTATTATCAACATTTTCACCTTCCATTCTTTCATACATTTGTGAAAATGTTGATAATTATGGATGACCCTAAATGATTATTTTGTTTAGTATTCCAATCCATTTGATGGTGCACCAGAGTTGACATTAAGCACTTGTGACGTGCCAGAAAATGTGCAAATAATAAGTAAGTTGTTAGGTTTCTTTAATTACACTTCAAACAGGCTTAGCAAAGCTAGGCCATTGCCTGACTTGTAAACACAGCTTTAGGCCACATAAAAAAAATAGTTGGTTAGCGTCCCCGCCCGCCCAAAAAAAGGCCCCGCTCAGGACTTTTTTTTATTTTTTATTTTAAAAAAACCCGACTTTTATTGATCAACGGGCTCTAATATATGTAGTATTTCTGTTGACTGTAGTCAATTGTGTTAATAATTTGCGAAATTGCGTGCGAAAATGACGGTATGAATTATATTTTGAAATATATAAAAAATATCTGTACTGCGCAAGAAAATCCAGTTTCGGACCTAACAGTGAGTAAAACCAAGGCGTTAAAAATTAGTAAAAATTAAAAAAAAAAGCGCCCGCCCGCCCACTTTTTGGCAAAAGCCAAGGACGCTAACCAACTATTTTTTTTTATATGGCCTTATGCTAAATAATTTTAGTGCAAACATAATTATGTATAAACGTAATTAACCAGTTATCTGTGTCCTGGTTTAGTTTTACAAATCCACAGCATATAGCAGAATTATTTTTAGTGCTGTGCACTGTAGCCAGAGTTTTGGCCTATTTTGCCGGAGCTGGAGTTTGTTCAACTCCGGCAGCACTTATTTGTGCTGCAAACTACTGTCGGACATCAGCAAAAAACCTGAATCAATCGACAAAAAAGTAAATACTCGTATTGATACTGCGTAAGCTTGCCACAGACATAGTACGAAATGTTCATGTGAAGTGTTAAAATCAACAACAAAGATAGTGCTTCCACTTTGAAAAATTCAAATTTTCACAAATTTAATGTATTAACTTTGCCTGCATAAAATTACAATAACAAAACAGTGTGGCCAGGTCACCGCAACAGCTTATTGCCAATTACTGCGGGCCCAAACTACAACAATAAATTTGCCGGAGCTGGACGTGTTCTGCCAGAGCCGGAGTTTTTTTACCCAGAGTTTTTTTGGCCGGAGGTGAAAAAACCGGAGTTTGCACAGCACTATAAATTGTTTTCCACTTGCATTATAGAAAATTACAAGTATTCGAACTGTGGCAAGTGGAAGGTATTAGGAGCAGACTCTAATGGTGTATATGACAACAGTTGTGATGAACGCAATGGCGACACTTCAGATGGCGACTACTTTTGCACTTCAGATGAAGACAACCAATCTAGGTATGCTGTGTTAATTAAACATCGGTTTTTTAATGTTACTTTTTTGAAGATCTGCAGATTACCAATAGGTACACCCATATGGAAAGTATGTCACTTTGGCTTTAAGCAAAAAATATCACAAAAATGAGGCCCTATAGTGAAGGTACTATACTTTCTGGAAGTGTGTATTGACTGATGTTTACATGTTTTTCCTGTTCTCACATTGTTCTCAACAATAAATTTGAATTTTTTTTTCTGTGTTGGTGTAATGTACTCAGGTGAATACGATGCTTGTGATGTTACTCCAAAGTTGTGATGTTACTCAGACGATGTTATTCCAAAGGTCGTAGGTTTGATTCCCACTGTGGCCAGGCATATTTTTCAAGCTTGCCTGGTGTGGATATACACTCAGAGAAACATCACAATTCACAAGCAACAATAAATTTGAATTTATTAAATTTGCCAGAATTACAATACACACTTAGTATACATATGTATATTATAAAATACAACATTACAACTGGCGCAAGTTTAATTATTAATAATACAGGAAACACATTCTAATTGCTATCCTACACTTTACATTGGTACACTGCAATAAAAGCCAAGAATTAACCAGGGAAGCAATAAGTAAAGAGTTTTGCCAAGTATAGTTCAGTGAGTTTAGTTTTAAATAAAGTTATTGAATCACAAAGTTTTAAAATTAGAGAGTATGTTATTCCAAAGTTCAGCAGTTCTATTGAAAGAAGACTGATAATTCTTGAACATCTACAAAAAATTCTTGAACATCCTAGCCCCTCAGTCTGAAGTTTAAATAGTATGTTGTATTTAATTAATAACCAGTGAAGTAAAATGTTTAATTACTTATTGTTTCAGTTGTTATGATTCTGATGACCATTCTGATTCCAGTGAAAGTTTCAAATTAGGAAAATCTTTCCGAGAAAAGTACCCAAGGTTGTGTGCAAAGCAGGGTCTAAAAACCCCTCCATTTAATGTTAAGTCAAACAAATCTACAAATGTGGCCAAAACACCACCGAGCAATCACAACATGGCTCATAAACAATGTTACTATGAGCAAGAAGAGGAGCAAACAAGCAGCAAGATGGTATTAGGTAGATCTTATTCAAGTGATGAATATTTCAAACCAAAGGAAACTGTTACAATTTCTAAAGACTTGTGGTCTCAGGTTCAACAATGTCTTCGTTTAATGACAAGTGTATTTAGGCAGTTAAATAGTGAATCCGATAATGAAAAGGATTCAAAAAACCTTTCCAGTGAAAGGCCATCTCAAAGACAATCTAATTTAATAAGGAAATCTTCTGTGAAGCAGAGACTGTTTAACGATGCCAATACATGTCACGCTAGTGTTCCTCAAGGCTTAGTTGTGGAGAAACTATTTGTCAGACATAAAGGATCAAGTACACCTGGTGTTGAACTTGCATCGAGACATACTTTCACTTGTGATACTAAAAGCAAAATCTCAGAAATTGAAAGTTTAGATTCTGGTTTTTGTCAGGAAAACAACAATGTTTCTGCCTCAACTCAGCAGTACAGTTCACCATCATCATCCAGCTCTAGAATGGGTGGATCAACCAGTCACAACACAATAGTTTCTCAAAAGAGTGAAGGGAGTTGTGGTTTCATGAAATCTGCTGCTGGTTCTAAACAAGTTTCTTCTGGAGTAAGTTGTCGTTGCAGCGATAGTTTGCGTTGTCTCCAACCAACCCCAGAGTTATTATCTCCCAAGGTCTTTGGTGAACATAATCAAGCATCATCAGAAAAAAAACGTCGACGGAGATATCGTCTTGTACGACGTCGTTCTGCATCTTGCAAAACACGAGGGAGATCGACGAATGAGACACCAACGAGCGACCATGAGTCTGATACACGAGAAAATCAGCATTTTGCAAGAAATGAAGTTTATCCATGCATGTCAACAGGAACAAGTGAACATGAGTCTGACACAAGAGAAAGCCACCATGGTGCAAGAAATGAACACTCATTTGATCAGTGCCTTAGTGAGACTGATGATTTCCATATACCTGAGAAAACGAAGATGACAGCAATGAAGGGTATTAAACAAAGTGAATGCTGTAGTTCTCCTGAAATATATGACGTCATGTTGGTTCACGCACCACCCACTCTTGTTCATAATAAGGTTTTGTCTCCTCGAGCAATTCCTAGAAATAAAACCCCATCACTCACTACATCATCCCAAGAAAACTGCCATTCTTCCACCTCACATATGCATCCCCGAGCAATTTCTGGAAATAAAAGATCACTAATAACTGAGTTATCCCAGGGGTACTGTCGTTCCTCTACCCCACGGAAACACCTTGAAGTGAATAATGTCACCACCTCACCAGACTCTAAAGCATACTTAAGACGACCTTTATTTCAACAAAACAGCGGTACATCTGCAGAATCAATGCCCAGTCCTATCAGGTCCACTTTGAATACAAATCCAACTGAAACATTGATAAACAATACCTTTCTCGGCAATACAGATCACCCGCGTGCTCTGTCAAGTCAACCTCAAAATATGAAGGAATCACTGCTAAGCCCAATCAGCTCCAAATCGCCCGGTGCAATTCTCCAACCCGAGATCTCAGTTAATTTCTTGAGGACCAAAGACATCCTTAAGAGAAGGTCTAGCTGTGTTACTAACGAGGGGCCAGCAAAACCGAACATTCGATCAGGTCAAAATAATGATGGCTATACTAAGAAACTGTTTCCTAGTTTATCAAAGAAAGGTTTTTCTGATGGTTCTAATACTTTGCTATTCCATATTCCTTCAGATGATCTTTTCAAGCAAAATACAGAACAAGACTATTTGTCAAATGAAGGTCACAGTAAAAATAACCAACGTGGAAATATGATGCCAAGTATTGTCAGATCAGCAAATTCAACGTCAACTAGAAGCCCTGATTATTGTAGATCAAAGTCAAGAAATGTATTATGTGCTACGACGGATAGACGGCTGGTAAACTCTCCGTTGACCCAGATGCACAATTCAGAGAGCAGTCCAACAACAGAATCCTCAACTACTCGCTGTGACAGAAAATCCAAAGTTACAACTCCTGAGAAACTGAACAGACTCGATCACAATTCTGACAGGTTTACCAGTCCTAACAACCATCAACTGAAGATTGCACCACGGCGAGCAAAGTTCCATCCTTACGCTACATGTAGTAAATTTCCCAGAACACCGTCACTAAGTTCACCATTTCAAAGTTTGAGCAGCAGATCACCATCACTGATTTCACCACTCCGAGATCTTACCATCAAATCACCATCATCACCACGTCACAAATGGACCACACTTGACCGCAGTCCAATGGCAGTTTGTGTTAAACAGGCTCGAAGAATGTCTGATCCAGTTGTAGCATCTCGAAAGATTTTGGAGTTTGGTTCACATGGTCGATGCAGTGATTCCAGTTCAGACAAGGAGAAAATAAAGTCCCGAGAAGAGAGAGTATCTGACGAGATAAAGAATGAACATGGTTTGCAATATCCTCATAAGAAGTTGACAATGAAGCGAAATAATAAAGTTGATCGTCATGTCGAAGATAACGAATCTCGTTCGAAGTGTTCTAATGGCAAATGTACAAAGACATTCTGCTTTAATTGTTCCATGATGGATTTGTCATAATTATTCGTTGACCTGTTGCAATTTCAAATATGTATAGTTAACTGTGCAGTGTAAAAAATGACATATACCCGTATTGCTAAACGTTCAATAAAGTGTATTTTTTTCTCTTATTTTTGTGTTTGATAAAATTTTGCCTGACTTGAAAAATCTGACATACAAGATGGGATTTAACGGCACCCAACCTCGTACCCAGGGTCCGCAGCTGGGGGTCAGCGAAGGTAATACCCTGGGTGTGAGGTTGTACGGCACCTTGGCCATTGAGCCTCATTTTGATGTATGTGAAAGCCAAGTGTCGCAATCACGAAAACGAGGCTTTATTGCCAAGATGATGTCCTTTCCGGAAGCGTGTATTATGACGTGGCAATGGCGTAGCCAGTGAGACGTGCTGATACAGCATAGTCTTTTCCGGCATAATTTACGAATCTGCCACCAGAGCGGAATTTCCTATAAATTAGCGGTCAAGAAAACCATCATTTAATTACATAATATTATGCTCCAGAAATAGAATAAAAGATAACATGGTCATGGATTCAGTCTGTAAAATAATTCTATATTCATGAACGGCAAAATTAACATAATTGCATTATTTTGGCGGATATCACACTTCATAGTGTGACCGCGACCTAATAGTCCGTTGTTGATCCATCTCGGTTGCTTCATTGTGGAATGTGGTGCAGACGTCAAACAAGGCATCCTGCATAACATCTCTGCGTTTTATCATGCGTCAAAGGAACGGCGTTTCACCAAATATAATTTCCTTTTATTACGGCAAATTCGACATTTTTCACATACGGTCTGTTCATCATAATTCACATAGGGTCTGTTCATATTTGAAAAGTATAGCGTTTTGCGCAATTCCGTTACAAAATGATTATAGGATTAAATTTCTTGAAAACATTTAAGTCTAAGTTATTGCCTACCTACATAAGTTATAGGCAATTCCAGTTTTTAGTTTATGCGTGCAGGGGATGATGGGAAGTAAGGTATCATATTGCTGATTATGCTGAAAAATTTCAATAAAAACTGCCGAAACAACCGAAATATTTCAATATTTACAAGCATAAGCTATCACTCCGTGTTTACACGGCCACCATTTTTATTTTTTTAGCATAATCAGCAATATGATACCTTACTTCCCATCATCCCCTGCACGCATAAACTAAAAGCTGGAATTGCACATTGACAAAACAAACTTTGTCTCCCGCTCCCTCCTCCCCAGTTGAAAACAACGCCGAAACAGCTTTTGGTAATATACCATGACAGAACGCAGTTATGTGCAAGCTGTCTTAGACCATGACGTCCGTATGTCGCATGTATTCCGCTCAAATATTACTTCCGTATATTTCTTCTGGAAATAAATTCCAAGCATTCCCTAACTACTCAGCATTCATGCGCTTCAAAAAATACCACCGGGAGTTAACAATAAATATTTGGAAACTATATTTGGATGCAAAATGATAATGAATTAAGGATTCTCTAAAAGTAAGCTTTGCAACAGGAATTTCCAGTGCAATATTGGAAATACGTTTTGGAAAATGCGTTTCTTCTCCGGAACTGGCCGTCGTAATTTTTGCGGTTGTGGTTTAGATGACTGCATGAGGGCTCCGTTGAAACACTCTGAATTAGCTTTGCCAAGATAAAGCAGGATATAAGTCATTATACAGTATATTATAATCAAAGAAGAATAACATAAAAAACGTCCGCTCTCCGGCACTTGACTGAGACCTCAGTCGGCGCCCTATTCGTTTTGTCACGCAAGTTATAGTGCTACACCTTACATATACACGTCCGTGATATAATGATGCATCGATATATATTCTAAATTATGTACATGTAGATTGATTGAATTAAAAAAAACTAGCTACCAGCCATAATTTTACAATAATGCGGATGTCTATAGGGGTAGGGTGTGTGTTGATCTCTTAAATTTTCCATAATTTTACAATGACGATATCTATAGGGGGAGGGGTTCTTCTCTTAAAATATGTTCTAGGGGGGTTGTTCTCTTAAGATATGTTCTGGTAAAAAGTTCCATTTTGGAGGCACCATCCTACATGAAACTTTTTCAGACTATTTGAAAGTGGCTTTGGCCAACGTATGGCGCTTGAGCTGTCACGAAGATTGGGTTTAATATGCATATTTCACGAGAACAAACATTGCGAATTCATGTATTAATTCACGAAAACACCATTTAGCACCCTCGGCGATTGCCTACAAAATACAAGGTCCAAGCTAACAAATAATAGATTGAAAAGTAAAAAAATTATCCGAGGTTTCATTCCGACAAGTTCTCGAGAATAATGCATTCGCCAAACGAAGCCGAAGGGCGTACGAAGCATATTTCCGAGCATGCATCGTAGTTTCTCCCTTCCGGTTACACTTCTTGTTTTTGATTTTTTGCTGAGGTTTGTCGCGTTCTTTCAAAAAGGCTTCCTGTTTCTAAGTATATCTAACATCGCTGACTAGCCTATACAGCCATTTTAGGTCAAGCCTATAGTTCAAGTGCATAATAAAATGCAAACACAATTTGAATCGTGCACGTTTTGAGTACAAAAATCAAGTTTAAATCCAGGAAATAAATGTTGAAAGTTCTTGGTACTAGAATAAAAAAACACAATGCTATACATGGTATTATTTCAAACACGCTAGTTAAATTGAAAGTTTTCTCAAATATTTTGCCATGGCCATCGTCTACTCTCGTAAAGTTTTGCCTTACTATAAATGTCTTCGTATTCTTTCATTAAATTTGGATTGGATTGGATCATATCAATTCCTACGCTGCGCTAGGATAAATTGATCAATGAAAGTAGACGGTGACGTTAATGGACACCATTGATTATTTCTGTCAATCGTTAAACAACTTTCAAAAATCTCATTAATAATTCATGAAGCAATTATCCAATCTTGAGTAAGATATTAGTCACGTGCATACGTCTTTATACCAGCTAAAGAACACTTTAACAAAAGACCATTGTTATGCAAACTATATAAAGATTTTTATATAAAGATTTTTATATAAAGATTTGACTTATTATGCATACGTTTTTGAAGTCATTTAAAAAACTCGCGGGTCGTGTTTTATTAGGTCTAAAGCCACTCGCGCTGCGCGCTCGTGGCTTTAAACCTAATAAAACACTCCTGCTCGTTTTTTAAATAGTACATAAAATATAAATAATAGTCGAAAAGATAGGTTTGGATTTACTTTCGTCTTCACTTTCCGGCACTTGCTGTCAACATAGTCATTAGGGAAATACGCAAGCGATCAACTCGCATGGGGATTTTCAAGATTAACAAGGTGTTGACAGAAAAGTTTGCCTTGACATCATAGGACGGTGATCTTCATTATTATATTACAAAGTATATATATGTTATACACTATGTGTCTATGTTATATATGAGTTATAAACTAAGAATGTTGTAAAGCCGCGCGTTTAACAATTTATGTTTAAAAAGTTTCATGTAAATGAAAAAAAAACCCGTTTCCTGAATAAACAAATATTATTAATATACAGATCAAGATCCAGTATAAAAGGTCATCGTAGACGTAGGTTAACACCATCCTATGGCTATGATGTCACTGATCTCGAACTATAGCTAGGGTTAGGTCTAAGATTTTAATAATATTCAATTTAACAAGACTAAGATTTTAATAATATTCTTTGTTTTTGAGCGTTGACAGCCAATATCAAGCAAGAGACTCTATTCTAGGTGTTGGTCAACTGGAATATTCTCTCGAATATTAAGAACATGCATGCTAATTTCAATACAAAAAATAATAGAAACAAAAATAAATTTTGAAACATTGACATTGAGAACGAGGGTATACTTTATATCCAGAAAAAATTGATTTCCAATACTTCAAAATAATATGTTGCAATATTGGAGCACTGACTATTGAACTCAATATTGGAACACTATTGAACTCATTTCAAGATAAACGGCATATTATTATTAGAACAATGATATTATGATATCTAAAAGCAATATATAGTTCAAAGATAAAGGTAATATTCTGGCATGTTAAACCATAGGAAATATAATAAATAGTTGCAACAAATAAAAAGCGTTAAATTTGTCTAATTTTGAATAAATTTGCATTGTATTACCGTGCTTTGACTGTTTTCAATCTTGTGCTGTGAATTCAGTGACGGAAGTAAATCGCGTATACGAAGCATAACCATAGGCATAACTTATACTTCGTATACGCGATTTACTTACAGCGCAAGATTGAAAACAGTCAAAGCACGGTAATACAATGCAAATTTATTCAAAATTAGACAAATTTAACGCTTTTTATTTGTTGCAACTATTTATTGTGATTCCTATGGTTAAACCAACAGTCCAATATAATGTGATAGTGGTTACTACGGTGAGAATGTTTTATGAAGATTATCTAGACAGTTGATTAAACGAGAGACACTAAATGCAGGAACTGGAATGAGTATAATCGGTGAGACTGACAGCCGGACAGAGATCATGACTTGGCTGGGACCTTGGCTGGGAAGTAACTTGGCTCATACCCAAGCAGGCGTGCAGCGGAAATGGGAAGCTCAAGCCTTTTGACTCTGCCTTTTGACGTATTTTGCGTATTGTTGAAGCGTAGAACGGAAATACAGTCGCTTCAGACCTTGAGTATAAAAGAGAGTGTCAGTTGTAAGTAAACTCAAAGTATTAAAACCATCAACCATTGTTCAGCACAAGCAAGACAAGAAGAGAGATAAACTGAAGACAAGAGCCGATATATATTGAAGGTTTGTGGTTTCTTTATTGACGCGCACAGAATTCGAAAGGTCCTGATTGAATGTATGCGCAATCACCAAGTCTGAGTTAGTTCCATGTGTAGAGTATAAATTATAACATACGATACGATAAGAAGTATTTCAGTGAGTGGTCGATGGTTATTTGAACTGCAAACTGCATGTAAAACTGGTCGTTTTTCGTTCCGCGAGATTGCAGTGAGAACACCTCTAGGCTCCAATCCGAAATGATTACAGCGTTAAACCAGATGGCAGCCTAGCGCGTTCAATGAGAAACAGTGTATTTACCATTCGAACATTGAATAGATATAGAAAATAACCGCGTTCGCAAATGTTCAAGTGAAATCACGCAATTACTATTCAGTAATCGGTATAATAATCTTGGACAGAATAAGTCTGCGCATGTTGGGTTTTAGCCACCATATGGGGGGTATAAACCAATTCCCATGATCAACGCATATTTGAAGCGTTTACTTCATGTTACATTTTTAATTAAACATTGCATCTTATTCAAAAAATAAATCCTCGGCCGTAGAGAGAATTTTGTTTCTAATAAAAACATAGCGTAGACATTGAGCGTAGATCGGTTGCGACGAGGCGAACGAAAACATAATGTCAATCTTTCAGCATTACAGACAATAGAGTTTATGTTATTTATATCTTATCACTCATCAGCGCACTTGACCGGCAGAAGTATTACTTGCCAATCAACAATCCTAGACAACAATAAATAATTATAATAGAAAATATATTAATTTTGTACCTTTTTCTTTCCTTTTCAATCTTTATTCAAGTAACTTCACACACTGGAAAATCTTGATGGAATGACTTTTGATTTTCTATATAACAAGAAATGCACATTAATAAAATACAAAACAAGTGAAACTCCAAAAATCGATAACATTTTTATTTATCTCACCATGATCTTAATATATATTATGTTAATTTAAACTGTATTAGGTTGCAAGTGCAAGGTCATGTATAAATAGTTTGGCAATAATGGGAACTTCATAACTATTGTTTAGCAAAATCTGGGACTTGTTCCAGTTATATTAATTAATGAATGCAATGTTGAAAACTATTTCCTATAACATTAGCTTGAGAGTCTGACAGATATTGACAGGACGGCGACATGAAAAGTTTATATTATATTTGCATTGTTTTAGATGAAGAATTATTTATTGCCGTTGCTGGTATGTTTTGTGACAGTTCAATCAAAATCTGTTCCTGAACCCCCGTCTGTTCCAATTGGTCCATTTGATATGACAGGTATACAACATTTTAATTCTCAATTTCTAGACCAATGATACACAGTACCAGACAATAGGGGTGAAAGTCCCCACCCCCAGCCCACTATGAAAGACAGGTATTTACGAAGCTAGTTAACCAAGGCTTGTTCATTGTCGTTTTGCTCAGTACGTTATATCATTAAATTTATGATTTGACGACTAAAAGTTCCAGCGAGTGCAGCCTAAATTTGTAACTGATATATGTCTACAAGACAAAACTATAAAAAATCCTAGATATTTGTGAACTAGATAAAAATAACAATGATGATTTTTGTTGAACAGCAAACACCACAAGTCCACAAGGAAAAGAAAAGGGTTACGAGAAAGAGAAATTATTTCAAGGCGATATTCAAGATCCAGGGCGTAGAACAGGAGGAAAGATAGGAGAGGCTGGAACACGAACACCTTGGCCGGATGCTATTATTCCTTATGTTTTTGACTGCAGTGTTTGTAAGTATTCTCTCCTTCTTGTGTCAATTTCCGTTGTGTTTTGCGAATGCATATTGTTTTTGAAAAGCAATAATAATATGTTCAATATGTAAAACAATATGCTTGCTTTGTTTGCCAGTAAGTATCGAGAGCGCTTTGAAAGCAACAAAAGACGCCATAAAGGAGTGGGAAGACAGAACTTGTGTCAAATTTGTCGAGAAACAACCACATCATAAAGTTTATCTTGAGTTTATCAGAGCTGCTGGGTAAGTCACTTTGGAATTTTGCAAACAATGTTGACCATTTTTCACATTGTTAAATTGTTTATTCACATTGCAGTTGCTGGGCAACGTACGTTGGGTACAAAGGAAAGAAAACTCAGATCTCTATTGGTAACGGTTGTGACTATAAACACGTCATGGTTCACGAACTGGGTCACGTGATTGGCTTCTGGCATGAGCAAAGTCGACCAGACCGGGATAACTATATTACAATCAACTATGGCAATGTTATTCGATGTAAGTATCACGTGTATTGCTTGTATTGCTGGTAAACAGGCTCATTTCTTTGACTTTAATTTTTAATTTCTTCATTTTAGCACTTCGATACAACTTCGATATTGTTAGAGAACAAACCAACAACTATGGGGAACGTTATGACTTCAATTCTATCATGCATTATCCATTTAATGCGTTTGCGATTGACAGAAGACAAAACACAATTTTTGCCAAAGATCCCAGACTACAGAGTTCTGCAAGACCTTACAGGAAATTGAGCAACTCAGATGTAATACAGACAAATAGAATGTATAAATGCGATGGTAAGTGAGACTATATTTTATACAAAGAACTTTCAAACCTTGCATAATTGCATTTGATACAAAGTCAAGAAGCATAATTGCATTTCATACAACCAGGCATTAAAATACGGAATTTTTACAAGGACACACTTTGCCTTCAGAGGCGTATTTTTTGTATAAATGCGCAGACTCACGAGAACGAGTAGCGAAGCCACAAGTTTAGCGTCGAAGACGCAAGCTTTTAAGGGGGTCTCTGAAATGGCATTTCCAGGGTTCTGAGAACAGAATTTGCAAAATCTTTGGTTATTTTGCGCGGATTACATTAATATATTTTCAGTTTAATATATTTTCAAGTACACACTTTTCAATTTACAAGGGCATGCACATTCGCCTTTTACAAGGACACAAAGTGTGTACAAGGACACGCTATTTTAATGCCTGCATACAACGTCAAAGCATGGTAAAGCCCATGCTTTGCAACGGCAAGTGATAGCAAAATGTCAGACCACTCATTATGTATAAAATACAGCAAACTGCTCTTCTGATTTTGCTAAACAGTCATATCGCTGCCCTGATTTTACTATGGGAACCCCCAATGAAAGCGTACGTGATTCCTTCATTCAGCGTCAACAAAAGTAAAAAATAACAAGCTTTCGTCGGTAGGAATCGGCAAAAAAATACAAAGAGAAATTCGACGTTTTTGGTCTTTCTCCTTCGTTTTTGGCCTTTCTCCTTCGTTTTTGGCCTTCGCTCGAAACATCGAATTTCTCCTTGTGTTTTTACAAACTGTTCAAGCTTACATCAACAAAAATAACAAGCTTCAAACGGTTGATTATTTCGTTCATAGAAATCAAGTCTGCGCGAGCGAAAACTATGAAAGCAATTGGTGAAGCAAACAAGATAAACTGGGCGTCTACAGGTGAGTCTAAAATGACCTTTTTTATGTCACATTGATTGATTAATTGTTTATTGGTGGCTTTCAGTTCTAACTGTTTACATTTAGAGAAACAAGAAAATGAAATGACTCTAAAAAGGTGAATATTAATTTGTTTTCAGGAGGTAAATGTCAAGACCAGCATCAACATTGCAAGAGTTGGGCTAAAGCTAACTTCTGTGAACTTTCACCTGATCCGATGTTAACAAGTTGTCCTGAAAGTTGCGGAGTTTGCGGTAAAGTTTGCCAAGATGAATATAAGGATTGCCCAGCATGGGCAGACTATGGTTATTGCATCCGTAAGCCCGGGACTTCAGATCATATTATTAAATTCATGTTGAGCAGTTGTCGAAAATCCTGTGCTGTGTGCATTCCAGGTAATACTAGCATAAATTATCATCCATGCACGTGATCAAACATATTTGTCTTTTATTTGATGCGAAAGTTTGTGTGGCACTAATGGGCATTGCCCAAAGACAATTTGATGAAATTTTGGTTCAACTTTGATGAAAATTGCTTGAGACTTGCGAGAGTAAAATGAATGCGTAATCAGTCCATGCATGAAAACATGACCTCCTTCATTTTGAACTAACCATGTTATTATTACTGTTTAATGTTGTCTCACGCCTTGGAATTAAATAGGGAAATGTTTTGCCAACCTACAATGAAAGCAGTTTGGTAAATTTAAGTTTTCAACAAAATGCGCAAGTAGTAATATTCAAAACTCTATTAAAATAATTCTAAATAACTTTATCATATCAAGATGTAAAGAAAAGACCATACTGCTTTCCAAACATTTCTCTTTTGCTCTGAATTTGCATCTCATGCTAACTCATACTGTCTTTGTTGCTGGCCTGACATGACAATAGTTCGAACTAACCATATTATTTGTTTAGCACCAACAACAAAACCCACCACTAAACCTACCACTACATTACCACCTACAACAACCCCAAAACCTACCACCAAACCTGCCACCAGACCACCAACCAAAGCTAGACCTGTCGCAACAAAGCCAGTCACAACACAGGAGCCACACACAACAACGAAAGTCATAACAAAGAATGGAATTAGCATACCAAGCACGAAGTTCACAGGTAATAAACTTATATTGTATTGTTATACTGTCAATAATATATTCCATGACCATTATTTGGAAGGTTAGGTGCAAACTGTTGACTAAAGTGGTGTAGTAGCAGTGATACTTGGAGAAAAGATCCATGCAAATGGTATCTTAAACAACACAGCTTCCCCCCTAGTAAAAGTAATCTGCATACCTATTCTGAGGAGGAATGGTGGCAGTTTAACCATTTCTCCCTAGACCTTTGCATGCCAAAAACAGCTATATATTGCATGAACAGCATAAGCACTGCACACATCACAGCAGCAATTTACCACATGGTTCAGCAGCTATTTATATATTTATTTTCTCTGAATACCTATAAAGTGTGTGTTATTTTTATGCATAACTCATACAATTATTTCCACATCCAAGGAGTGCTATGCAAAGATCGTAGTAAATATTGTAAAGACTGGGCAAATGATGGAAGATGTGATACTGATCGTTGGGTGTATGATAACTGTTTGAAGAGTTGCAGGAGATACACTGTCTGTGATCGATACATGATCAAACCTATTGGTAAGTTTGTTGTATCTTGCATCTCAAAAATCCTTGGACCTACAGTTTCTTTCAATATTTTCCAAAATTTAGGTTGTGAACATATTCTTGGTGTCACCAGTATGTATTAAATTAACTCATTAAAATGTTACTAATATTTTAGGTCGCTGCAGTAATGCACATGGAGTTTATTCTAAAGAAATTATTCCTGATAGCAGACTGTATGCACCCACAACATTTGCACCAGGTATGTCATGTCTTTGATTTATCTAACCATGAAGAAGATTTTATAAAATTCACTGCATTCAAAAGCATACAGTACCTAACAAGTTATTTTTACATTAAGGTGGTGGTTGGTATGCACGAGCTAGTTCTGCTCGTTTATACAAAGAAGATGACCATCGACTGAAGAATGTTGGAGCATGGTGTGCTGAACCTAACAACAACAGAGAGAAATATTTACAGATTGATTTTGGCAGCGAAAAAATAATTACAGCTCTGGCTACACAAGGAAGAGATGTGTATTTTGAACATGTCAAAGCCTACTCGTTATCATTTCGTTTGGGGGTATCATGGGTGCATTATCGTGAAAGAGGATCACGAGATAGGAAAGTAAGTGATAAATATCAATAGTAAGAACATGTGGATTTATGGGATCTTGTACGGTCAAAAGTGAGAACAATGTAGACCCTATATAATCTTGTATTCTATGTGGTGGGAGTCACTCATTTTCCTGTAAGGTCTTGCAGATTGAATTCCGTAGTGATGGATCTATAATAGCATTAATTGTGTTTTGCCTTCTGTAAATCGCAAAATTAAAACAAATAAAATGGGTACAGGCAATGCAAATAAATGTTAGAGCATAATGCTAAATTCACCAGCATTTAACATAATATCAACATTACTTTCACAGATATTTGATGCAAATTGTGATCATGTGACACCTGTGATGAATCTCCTAGAAAGAGATGTGCGTGCCCGTTACATGCGTATTCATCCAACCAAATACATTGGTGCAGCTTGTCTTCGTGTTGAAGTCTATGGTTGTAATCCGTAATATTCTCAGACCTCTGAAGATGTTCAATTTAATATGGATATACTTTTTATCAATGTGTGATGCCAATATGTGATGCATTAAATATTGTGACCATGGCAAGATAATATCTTGTAAAAGGAGTGAATGTTTTTCATGATAGTGTTCATATATTGCTGAACATGTCAATCTCATTATGATATGTACTTCCCATAAATATCTTATATACACCAGATAGTGCATCTAATTAGTCTGCAATTCAAAAATTGAAGCCGTGATTGCAGACTCAGGATATTCCCATGAAATGAGAAGACTCGTATATGTTTTCTATTTCTTAAACAGGGAACTATTCCAAATACATTTTCAAACTATTCAAATGATGAAAGTTATTGTTGTTTTTAAAGCGTTTATTAGCGAGTGGGAAACTCCAACATGGCCGCCATCTATTCAAATGGAGTAACCGCTGGAATATTCTTGGCTTCAATTTTACTAAAAGAGATGCGCTATCTAGTGTATATAAGATATCTATGGTACTTCCCACATTCAGCTGAATTTCTGTCCACACATTTTCAACAAAACCCCACAAAATCTGCTTATTTTTGATGATCAAATTAAAGCATTTATTTTGTCTCTTATGTACGTATTGTGAGGAAACTTCACACACAAGAACATGATTTAGAAATGACTGTATGGCTATGCAAACAATGCAGCAATTCTCAAATCAAATGTTCTATTGCTACAATGCACCACAGAAAAATTATCCATCCAAAAATAAAATGTTCTGGGAATCTTCATGGTTTGAGATGTACATTTATATATTAAATTTTAAATATTTTAAAATATTTTTTAATAATTTTAAGTAAAGATAATTATAATATAGTGAATATTAATTAATATTAAATAAAGATAATTATAATATAGTGAATACATCAATAGGTTCACATGTATGTAAAATTATTTATAGAAAATTCAAATAAATTTTATGTTTTATAAATTGTTGTTATAAATATTGTAAGGGCATTAAGTTCTTTGTAGTATTGCATGGCGACAAAACATATAATAAATTTACGTGATGTTTCCACAAACAAAAAGTATTATATTGTAAGGGCAGTTTATTAAACATTCCCACTTAGTAAAGTGCACTGAACACTGCAATTGACCATTTGCGTAATAGACTAAATTTTGATCCAGACAAAAATTTCATCATGGCTTGAACGAGCATCACAAAATTAGTAATATTCCAAAGTTTCGTTGCGATGTGTTGTAAAATGCGGATAATATAGCCTTGCGAAGTTTGCAATTTTCAGTCATTTTAGATTACAAACGGGAAATTGACAGCCCGATACGCTTTGAGGCTGTCAATTTCTCGTTTGTAATCTAAAATGACTGAAAATGGCAAACTTCGCAAGGCTATATTATCCGCATTTTACAACATTTCGCAACGAAACTTTGGAATATTACTAATTTTGTGATGCTCTTTCAAGCTATGATGAAATTTTTGTCTAGACTTGTTGAGATCAAAATTTAGTCTAGTACGCAAATGGTCAATTTGACAGGCTAATTCAAATATCATTTGAAAGCTTATTATTCGAAGGGTATTCATGTAAACGTCTTCAAACTTTGTATACTTACTAATTTTGAGGTGGTCGTTTTAATGATTTGGTTCATTTCTTAATTTTGGGCACTTTTTAACACTCGTCCCCAGTCCTCTCATCAACTTCGTAATGGCTAATTAAACCTGAAAAGCATTAAAGCATGTTAAAACGAGGCCAGCATGTTGATTGAATATATCCAACAAATTATTATTATTATTTAAAATTATTTGAAAACGGTAGCCTTTCAGCGGTAAAAACCCCCTGATTTTCAAGGGGCCGTTTATGAATACATATATACATTGGTTAGCAATCCAAAACACTTACTATCTATTTAGAACTATTATAACAAAAGAGAATTATGTTAAAAAAGTAAAATCACAATTGTTGTAAAGATACACGCGTGAAAACGCTCAGGTTGATGCAATACTGATGAAAACAGGATGAACAATGTTTTGCTGCCCACATTGTTCACAGTTGTCAACAATATTGAGCAATGTTGTTACACCCGATTCAGGCTGCCTTATTTACAGCATCTAGGGTAATTATGAAGAAACAGCAAGTGGAATGAAATACCATTGGAATCTCAAGACCTTACATTATTATTCCGCTCACTCCCCATTGGGGCTTTATAAGTAACATGCTACTTACGTTACTTATTTAGCCTACACGCGTAAAAACGCCGAGCCTGTAACAATGTTGATGAAAACAGGCCTAGACAATGTTTTGCTGCCCATATTGTTCCTGGTTGTTAACAATATTGTTCAGCATTGTTCAGCTGAATAATGCTGAACAATGTTGTTAACAACCAGAAACAATATGGGCAGCAAAACATTGTTCAGGCTGTTTTCAACAACATTGTTACAGGCTCGGCGTTTTGTACACGGCAAAAAACGCCAAGCCCGTTGCTCAACAGGACTGAACAATGTTTTGCTGCCCACGTTGTTCACACTTGTCAACAATATTGAACAATATTGTTGAGCCTGAATCGTGTGTAACAATATTGTTCAATATTGTTGACAACTGTGAACAATGTGGGCAGCAAAACATTGTTCAATCCTGTTTTCATCAGTATTGCATCAACCTGAGCGTTTTCACGCGTGTATCTTTACAACAATTGTGATTTTACTCTCTTAACTGTGTTTATCCTAACCCACTCTGTCAAATTTCCCTGTGGGAGGAAACCGGAGAAAACCCACGACTTTCGACAGAGGGCTAAATTGCAGAATACCTGTCCACTAGTTATATCATATCATGTAGCCACTATTTCACTGGATCTGACGCGGTCAGAACTTGGTAGTATAATATTTCGCTGGATATATACGCGACCAGAACTTGTTAATATATATTTATTCTTAATAGATTAATAATAAATAGATTGATAGATCTTTTCTCATTATGTCATGTTACAGGCAGCTATATATTTTAATGATACGCAGATAAGGCACACAGAAGGTCGACTCGAGTAACCGCTGCCACGCCATGATATTGGCATGATTCATCATCAAAATGCTGAGGCCATGGCATTGCGCCATGGTCCTAGCCAGTGCTACCTATATAGCATAACAATTTGATTTATTAATGAATAATGCTAAACTAACTGTATGCCTCGTTCTCAAACTCACTGCGTATCCACTAAAATATACAGCTACCTATAGCATGACAATTTGATCTATTAATTTTTTGTCAATTTCCCCAATATGGGGCGACCTGACGAAGTCAAACTTCTGTCCCTGGGTAAATAATTTATAGAAACTGGATTTAATAATAGTGAAATACACAAAAAATTATATTGAACGAACAGTATAAAATTTATAGTCATATATTTATATTTAAACTGTTTTAACCTTGGTTTTATATCGTAGAAGAAAATGCTCTTTATTAGTTTAGTTTAGTTTAATAACTTCATCATTAAATTTACAGCAGATAATTGGTGACCATAATTACGAACGAATAACTTAAATTATAGTACAAATTTACAACTAAAATTAAAGAACTCCTATTATTATTCTTGTTCTTTAATATAAAAACAAACTAATATATTTCACTCACCTTTTTAAAACATATTTCTATTGCCAAAAAGTGAAAAAGTATGTAGAAAAAATCTGCAGAAAAATCAAGAACACAAGAAAAATACGGTGCTGTTTCCCGCCAAAACACACACACATTTTGAGACTTGTTCCCAGGCCTCATGATGAAAAATGCGAGATTACACTTCTCAAATTCCCGCCCTCAGGCTCAAGGTATTATCAAATTCCTGACCCAGGGGAAGCAGGTAGCTGTCAAATCCCGTGGATACGCCCGATACCCCCCACCCTGGGGCAAACCACTGACTGGCGCATTAAAAGTTACATTCCATAGTGGCCATAGCCATCTTCTAAACATACCGTAGTTTTAGATTTCCTATCAAGTGCACACAAGCTTCGCAGGACTACCAACTCAAATGCGTTAAAACCCATTTTTATTATTTCATTCTATCACTTTTGCTGATATAAAATGACCAACATCCATTCCAGCATCTGAGTATGCCCGGTCGCAGGCTGGGTGCTGGGCGGAGAAAAAGGGAAGTGTTTAATAGGCTTTTCTTTTTAACCATTTTTTCCCGAAATTGGTAAAGTTGCCAAAAATGCCATATATTTGATTATTGGCCAAAACATTATTACTGGTAAGTAGGTACTTTACGCTGCGATTTCTCCTTTTTGTTCACTTTTCGAGTTTTTGAAAGTGGCCAAAATGGTGAGAAAGTAAAGGGATTAACCTTCACTTTTTTCAATCAAGGCGAATGGTTAGCTGTTGCTTTTAGAAAACGTAAAGGCGAACTAGCCAAAGGTGAATGGTTAGCTGTTAACTTTTACTTTTCGACCATTTTTAGGCTGCTCCCTGAATTTTGGAAGTGACCAAAATTGGTCAAAAAGTAAAAGCTACCCGCCTACCCCCTTAACTGTTTTTCGACGAAAAGTAAAGGTCAACGACGATTCGAAAGTTACTACCACAATTTTGCATGGTTTATATTTTATGAATTACCAATCTAATAAACAGGTTTCCAGCAGAGACGGTTATCTAGATTCTAGGCAAACAATTCAAGGTTTTTTGGTGTAAAACTTTTACTTTTTGCAAATATATCCTGAAGTACATGTAATATGATGAGAATATTGAATACAAACATTAAATTATTGGAACTAAATGAGTGTCTGGGACACCGGGTAAGCTCTGCTCGAGTAACATCAGTAGAAAACACCTTACTGCCCTGAACACGACAATTATCACAAATATTCTTCTGGATTGACAATCACGCCATTTTTATAAAGTTGTAAATGTAGATGTTGTGTGATTCCTGCAGAAGGAAGTGCACGCGATGTCCCCAACATTGAACCCTTCTCAAATGTTCCTGAAGTTCGAGATGGAGTGAAATAAAAAATCTTTGCTCGAAAACCTAAAATAAAGAAATGTAGTGCTCCAGTGTATAATTGGTAAGATCAGTATAGCTCAATATCACGCTTTCAAATGTCAACGATTTATAAGTTTGATAGCCTACGGTGTAGACCCCAGCAGAAACACGTTTCGTGAGGGGTCTACGAATAAACGAAGAAAAGCTTGCCCGGCCTACGTCATATCCGTTTTACGTTTTGGGTAAATTAACTTCAATTTATTCAAATTTCTGAAGCGTGCGTGAATGTAAATTTTCATTTGGCGCTTATTAAAGACATTAAAATGTTCCATGGCGGGCATTGTGCAATACAAATGTGTTCTTTACTTCAAAGTCCCGTCGAATAAAAGCGATATTAATTTCTTGGACAGCAAGGACGCTGTACGTAAGGACTAAGGAGTTAGACGACCTTCCCTTCTCCATTTCACCCGCCTGGCGTTGGTAAACAAACGGTGAAACGCAGAAGCTTCAAAGAACGGTTTAATATGTGAACTAGAGCCTAGAAAATACGATAACCAACGTGCACGAAACAGCATTAGGCGCTATTGATAAATGTCGTGAACCAACTAGGATTCGAGCCGACTTGCGATAAAGCTTATAAAAGCTTAGCTTTTATGCCGGCTACATTTAGTGTGAAATCGACTTTGTCTTCGACTTCGGAAATTGGATATCTTGACAAGTTTTAAGCCTTCAACAGCCTATAAACAGTTTGTACGAATGACAAGAACTTTTTAGTCCGTTCGAACATGTGTTTAATGGTTGGGTATATATATATATATAGTCAGGGTATATTTTATTGCACAAAGACCGCCATGGAACATTTTAATATAAAGCGCCAAATGAAAATTTACATTCACGCACGCTTCAAAAATTTGAATAAATTGGAGTTAATTTACCCAAAACGTAAAACGGATATGACGTACGCCGGGCAAGCTTTTCTTCGTTTATTCGTAGACCCCTCACGAAACGTGTTTCTGCTGGGGTCTACACCGTAGGCTAACTTTGACCAGCCTGCGTAACAGTTAACCGCATGTAAATATTAATTTCACATTTCGGTAAAGTTAAAAGACGGAATGGAATGCGTAATCTACAGGGTGTCCCAAACAAACGCAAAACCATCGAAATAACGTATTGTTAACAGTGGCGTGCTGGCAGGGGGGGCCGGGGGGCCACGGCCCCCCCAGCTGGCAATTCTTGGGGGGGCGCAAAAATGAAAAGGGGGCGCCGTCCCGTGCGGAATTTTGAAAGCGGCTGGGGAAAAAACGCATTTGAAAAAATATAGTTACTTCCGTCAAGAAGTATATATTTATATAGGCTTATAAACAGATCGAGACTAAGCGCATAGACGACAAAGAGATATATTAAATTACAGACTATTTGGTCTAACCGTATTGGCTAATTTGCTACTTCACAGCTCACACAAAATCGTTGATATAGAAACATGATCGGTGATCACACACAATGTCTCATTACCGGAATATTGGTCAGGTTTCGAAGCGATCACGGGAATTATGCCCTTTTTTGCTGGTATTATGCCCTTATATTATGAAGGTATTATGCTTCACGAATCACGAGAGCGGCGCAAATTAGATAGTTACGATAATGTAAGTTGTGTACGCAATTTAGTTGTTTGTGCCAGAAACATCATGACTCATGAGTAATGTAAGTGATAAGATAATGCTGAAACGCGCCCTTTTGGCAGTCAAGCAAGGTAACCTTAAAGTGCATATGCGTGGGGTCCGTGTGTTATTGTATAAAAGAGCTGTATGTTGTAAATGTATTCAGATCACGAGATCAGTAGAGAATAGAATTGGGATTAGATTAATCGCTGGAACTGAGTTAGCATTGCCCAATTTAAATACTACTACAAAATTCTAACCAAATTGCAAATTTCAACACGTTATAATGCCGTTTCCTGACCATCAGATTTCTGTCAAACCTTCCCCCCAAAGTCCAGGAAATGGCATTTCAGAGACCCTAAATTCAAAAATTTTCCCAGGGGACATGCCCCCGGACCCCCCTAGAGAAACCTTGCACCTGCGGCGCTCGGCTCGTGCCTTCGACACTCGTTTATCAAGCGTTACAATATAGGGGCGCATATTAGTTGAAAGCCCACTGGCCCCCCCAGAAAATTAGTACCCAGCACGCCACTGCAATGGACCTCAATTTACTGCAACTGAGTTTGTCGAGTTCATGACTAAAAATGGAATCAAGCACGCATTAGTCCCCCCATATCATCCGCAATCAAATGGGGCAGCGGAAAGGTCCGTGAGAGTGGTTAAAGAAGCTTTAGCCAAACAAGTTATTCAAGGCACCCAAGGCGTGTCTATGAAACATAGACTGGCAAATTTTCTCCTTAGGTATCGAACCACTCCTCACAGCACCACAGGTGTGTCGCCAGGAGAGTTGATGATGACGCGCCGTTTGAGAACAAGGTTGAGTTTGGTTAAACCTGATCTAGCACAGGTCGTAGAGGGAAAGCAAGAACAGCAGAAAGTGTATAAAGATGGGAAAGGAAAGAGTGAGAGAACATTTGAGAAAGAGGAAAGAGTTCGCGTGTTAAACACTAGAGCAACGAACAAAACTAACAAATGGATTTTAGGTACAGTAGTTAAGAGTTGTGGGCCGCGGACATATGTAGTAAAATGTGGAAAGAGAATGAGACGTGTGCATCCAGATCATATGATCAAGGCACATGATGGTAGAGAGAATGGTAGCGATGATTTAAAAGATGATGATGACGAACCAGAGGTAAGTATTTCAGAATCTGGGGAACAGACTGTCGCAGATGACAATGGCGAAATAGCCACCAAGGTAAGTGAATCACTGATAGAGGTAGTTGAGAAAAATGTGACACCTGTGGTGTCTTCAGATGTTGTTGCCCAGCAGAAAGATCTTCGGAGATGTGGGAGAATCAGAAAGCCAGTAAATAGGTTTGGATGGTAAGTATTTTCTGTTTATGTTGTTGTTTGACTAATATTTATATAAATAACTAAAAAAAAGGAAAAGCAGTGTAATATATTAAGGTTATATTAGCATAATTTATGCATATCCCATAATGCTGTATGGGAATAAAAGAAGTGTGTTGTAACTCGACCACGTTGTTTGTTTTGCTTATATTCTTATACTAAAACAAGTCTCAGTATACTACAGTAAGTATGACGGACATGTTTACTTGTGGATCACTAACACAAGTGCTCCTACTAAGAAACTTTTGTGATAATACAGAGGATTTTTAAGATATTATTGGAAAATAGGAAAATCTTGGTGGACATTTTCCATGAATCAAAACGTACAGAAGAGGTGTGTATTCCATATAATCCCAAGAGTAAATACCACCCATACCGGAAGTTGATGCGACCAGATGCACGACTGAATCATGCAAGCAAGGTTTCCGTAGATTGAATGAGTATTTTAAGACGACAAGAAAGATGTTACAATTTAAGAATAACATTTTGTTTCGTTTTGTAAATGAGCGATTTAACAATGATTTCGAATCAATGTGAACTGATACGTCAAGACCAAATGTATTTGGCTAGAAAATAGATTAATTAAATTAAAGAACTGCAGGAAATGTAAATATCATAACTAGAAATAGTTGTCATTAGAAGTGGCCCGCTGTGGAATCTGTTTATGAAAAAAGTTTAAACGCTCATAAGCCAAAAATTACACTTTTTAGATTTTGTGAATACCAGAACTTAAATCTTATGCACTTAATATGTAGTTGCAAACACAATTGGTCTATTCAAATTGAAAAAATTGTAACTTTTAGTATATGAATTTATTATACCTTCACCATATTTTGCTTATGGCTAGTCTATGCTGTGAGTAAAATAGTGCACGAAAAAGAATGGGGGTCACCGTGTTTAGTTCTCTTCCAACTACACAATGCAATAGAGTGAATTTTGCATGCGTGTGTTACCATAGTAACGAGCTATGTGCGACCAAAATCGACATAAATTGAAAGCAGAAACATCAAAATTGATGAATATAGTGATAACTGCTGCATAAAACCTAAAACTATGACATTTAAAACTGTCGTTTTGAAAACTGTACCTGGCCGCCTTAAGTTAAACGTTTTTATGGGACAAACCCGTTATCGCGAGGTGGACATCAAAGCCATTGGACATCGATTTACACTCGGAAGGTCAATTGCGTATTCATCAAGGCATAACTGATAATATTTACCAGAAATGTTAAAAGAAATTTATAGTTGGTTGTCAAGGGCTTGATATTTGCATAATTATTACAATATCATTAAAAGGTCATTAAAATCGCCCACCCCATGTGGATACAATTTTTATTCCACGCAGCAAGCATGAGGCAGATAAATAGTAGCAAACAGAGGGTTGGTACAGGTTATACAGCTATTTCAATTAAGGTTGTCCACGAGCAAAGCGGAAAAGTCGAATACGAGCGCGAAAGGCTGCTGGGAATCGCGTTGAAAATTCATTAATTTGTTAGCGATTCCCAGCAGCCTTTCGCGCTCGTATTCGACTTTTCCGCTTTGCTCGTAGACAATCTTAATTGAAATAGCTGTATATCGAAATCTTGTCTTATTGATAACGGTGTGCTATATACAATAGGGCAGTAAGTTGCAGGTTTATTTAAGTGGAAATTTTCTAACATTGGTCAATAAAACGAGAAGAGTACAGTAGTTGCACGAGACTTTACAAAACTCGAAATTGCATTATTCCGCGTAGCACATGAGATTTGCATTGAGTCCATGACAGCCGATGACATTTGACAGTCAAACGCGAGTGAGTGTGGCAACATTATCATGCAATGATGCATTTAAGTAAGATTATCTGATAACCTGTTGCAGTTGAACAGACTTCGCCCGACATTGCAGTACAATTTAATCTTTATCAACGTGCATACGATACCAAGCACATTCTTGCCATTATTATGTTTTCATTAAATCCGAACAACTTTCCATAATCATGACTGGTGCAATCCCGTTTTCCGGTCGCAACACGGCAGGGCCGTAGCGAGCGGGTGTGTGTGTGTGTGGGGGGGGGGGTAGCCCGCCCTGATAATTGCTCATGAACAATTTCAGGTAGATTTGCAGTAGATTTTCAAGTAAATTCAGGTAGATTTGCAGTAGATTTCCAGGTAAATTCAGTTACTGTAATTCTAAGGGCATGAGAAAAGGAATTTTGAAAAATAATTATATCTCTAGAAAAATTTTGCAGTATTTTTGTAAAAATGTCCGGAAAATTTTTTAAATGTTTTCGAAAACTTGGTATGTCCGGAAAAAAAATCTTTGTATGTCGGGAAAACTTTTTGGTGCTCCCCCCCCCTCGCTCGCCAACATTTTTTGGGAAAATATTAATTAGCGACTAAAATCAGGTAAAACCGTTAATTTTTACAATTCCGGGTAAATTTTACCTCGCACATCCCTGAGGCGAAGTCCTCGCAACGGCCCTGGTTCAACACCAGTCCCAAGGTTGCATCTCGCTAGCAGCAAACCGAGCGATTCCGCATCACCATCAGATTGCAAATGTCGGTATAAACGATCATTGAGCCAACTAAATTAAAAATCGTACTGTATATTAGCTTTTTGGCCAGCAATGTATGAATATAAGCCGTGTTCTTTCTTGTAAAATTTTACAAGTTACACATACAGTCAATGGTAGTGCACGACGTTACTCGGTGTTCCAACGTTTTACAACGTAATCTTTTGGATTCATTTCACGGATCAAACTCTATAACGCCCACGTTTTCAAGTTTCGTATTTTTATATCTTCACATACTATCAAGTGCATGCATAGTAAATAATCGTCTCAAATCGAGTCTAAAGTCAAGTCGAGTACTTGTTAGAGATCGAGTCACGAGTCGAGTGGTTTAAATGCTTAACCTAGTCGAGTTGAATGAACAACAACACTCAAATTGAATCGGATCGAATAGATGGCCACGCACAGTCAAGTCTATAGCTAGGTCGAGCTAGTTGGGGCTCTCGACTCCAGTCGAATCATGCATTTTTCTGGTTGAGTCGATGGACGACAAGACTTGAGTTGAGTGCAATGACTCGAAAGGATTTTGTATTATTGTTATTCATATTTTTAATAACGACTTCTGAATCTCGACATATTCAAACATCATTGAGTGGGTGCATGCCAGTGTGCAGAGCACCGCTCATATGTGGAAAATAGCTCTACCACCTCGCCTATATAATTTTTCATGCTGTACAGTATGTTGACGCCAACGCGCTTCCTCTGCTCTTACGTCTGCAGGAATCCATATCTATAGTGCAAAAATAAGACAACATTGTCATTATATTTGGGCATCGAATTAAGACACTATAGGAGCGCTCATTCGTTTCTTGGCAATGAACCCAAAACCTATCAGCCGTCGTAAAGTTATAGAAAGTATTCACTGTATTTCATATTTTTATTAGAAAAGGCCTATATTCTTGTCTAATTTGCAACTTAAATTTTAACTGAATATTTTTTTTGTGTGAGAAACATTATAACGGTATGTACCTCTTGGTTAATTAATAAATAAGTAAAATGTCTTTATGTTATCTCGACGGTAATACAGCTATTTCAATTAAGGTTGTCCACGAGCAAAGCGGAAAAGTCGAATACAAGCGCGAAAGGCTGCTGGGAACAGCTTTGAAAATTGCTTAATTTGTTAGCGATTCCCAGAAGCCTTTCGCGCTCATATTCGACTTTTCCGCTTTGCTCGTGGACAACCTTAATTGAAAAAGCTGTATGCACAATTTTATATGACAATATAACACTCAATGACAGTGCACGAATGATGATTGGACTCACTCTTATAACTAAACTGTAGGCATATCTACTGCAGAGATCCACAACGTTTTACAAAGTAATCTTTTGGATTCATTCTAGAGCTCAAGCTCAATAACGCCCACGTTTTCAAGTTTTGAATCTTTATATCTTCACATACCTTCAAGTGCAGAGTAAAGAATGGTCTCAAATCGAGTAAGTCAAGTCGAGTCGTTTGAAAGTTGAGTCACGAGTCGAGTGGTTTAAATGCTCAACCTAGTTGAGTTGAGCATATATCACTCTTTCATATTTGTAGTGGAAAAGACCTGTATTCTCGTCAAATTTTCAACTCAATTTTTAACTGAATGTCGTGTATGTGAGAAACTTTACAACGTCATGTACCGCATAGTTAATAAATCAGTAAAATGTCTTTATGCATGTAATCTCAACGGTAATGACGAACAATTTTTTATGTCAGTATGACACTCAATGGTAGTGGCTGTACACGAACGAACTACGAAGGTCGGACTCACTCTTATAACTAAACAGTAGGCACGTCTACACAGATCCCAAACGTTTCAATGTTACTGTATACCAACGTTTTACAAAGTAATCTTCTGGATTCATTTTACGGCTCAAGCTCAATAACGCCCACGTTTTCAAGTTTCAAATCTCTATATCTTCACATACCTTCAAATGCAGAGTAAAAATATCTCATATCGAGTCTAAAGTCAGGTTGAGTCGATTGAAAGTTGAGTCACGTGCACGAGTCGGGTCGTTTAAATGCTTAACCTAGTCGAGTTGAATGAACAACAACACTCAAATTGGGTCGCATCGAGACGATGGCCACAGCCAAGTCTAGGTCGAGTTATTTAGGGCTGTCGACTCCAGTGGAATCACGCATTTTTCGCATTCGGCTCTGGTTGAGTCTGTGGACGAAAAGACAAGAGTTGAATGCAATAACTCGAGACTATCTTAGTATTCTTGTTATTCATATTTTTAATAAAGACTTCTGAATCTCGACCTATTCAAACATCATTGAGTATGCACGTTACCGACGTAATTAGCGCTACGTAAAACTGAACTAATTAATACGCCAGTATTGCCAGTGTGCAAAGCACTGCTTATGTTAAAATTTGAAAATTGCTCTACCCCCTCTGTAATCTTTCCTGCTATAGTATGTTCGCTCCAACGCGTCTCTTTTGTCCTTAAATCGGCAGGAATCCATGTCTCAATGCTAATAAGAGAGCATTTTCGTTATATTTGGGTATTCAACTGATCGAGACACTATAGGAGCGTTCATTCGTGTCTTGGTAATGAATCTAAAACCTATCAGCCGTCGTAAAGTTATAGAAAGTATTCACTGTATTTTATATTTGTATTGGAAAAGACCTGTATTCTCGTCGAATGTTCAACCCGACTTTTAACTGAATGTGTTTTTTTGGGAGCAACTTAATTTATAACGGTATGTACCGCATGGCTAATGAATAAATAAAATGTCTTTATGCTATCTCAACGGTAATGCACAATTTTATAAGACAGAATCAATGGTAGTGTACGAATGATGGTCGGCCTCACTCTTATAACTAAACACTAGACACGTTTACAGAGATCCCAAAAGGTTCAACGTTGCTGTATGCAAATGTTTTACAAAGTACGCTTTTGGATTCTTTTGCGGCTCAAGCTCAGTAACCGGCTCGCGTTTTTAAGTTTCGAATTTAAACTTTTTAAGTTTCGAACAGTATCTTCACATACCTTCAAGTGCACAGTAAAGATTATTTAATCTCTAATCGAGTCTAAGGTCAGGTCGAGTCGCTTGGAGGTCGAGTCACGAGTCGGATCGTTTAAATGCTAAACCTAGTCACGACGAATAAACAACAACACTAAAATTGAGTCGCATCGACTCGACGGCCACAGTTAAGTCTAGTCGAGTTATTTCGGGCTGTTGGCTCCAGCCAAATAATGCATTTTTCGCATTCGGTTCTGGTTGAGTCTGTGGGCGACAAGACTAGAGTTGAATGCAATGACTCGAGAGTATCTTATTACCTCGGGTCGGTACGACACCGAGGTCTTAAATTCGGCTCCTATTTTTTTTTTATTGTTTTTTATTTGTGTCGAGCCGCGCGCGTAGTCGAAGATCGAAAGGCCTGCGGAGGAGACGACAACTTCCGGTAAATAAGTGTACTTCCGGCAAGCATCGGCCAAAGCGAAACGGAACCCGAAGCTGTCCTTGCACAAAATCCGTCAGAATTGTTGATTTAAAACCAGAAGATGTGATAATTTTGACATACATGTTTAGCTGGACAACTATTCTCGAGTATATGTTGATATAATGTACAATACATCGTATGCATAGCATGGGAATACCGCGGCCAACTTTCACTTGTTATCTATTATAATTACTGACCCGAATCAAAAGTAATTATTTTCGGCTGGAAGACTACTGTACGTTGCTGCTTGTCGGGACCGTATGACAATGAACCTATCCAACGTTACACTAGACATTTGTGAGGACATGCATATAGACATAACCATAGGCACTGTAGTGCATTGTGATAGAACAGATTTCAGTTTAATTAATCGCCCTAAATTAAAATCTCCACAAGCGGAGGTCAATTATAGTGTTCTAGTTTACATATTATCATTAATGATAAGGTTTACTCAAATAGCGTATTGGATAAACACGGGAATAGAACTTATGGTGTATTCTGCACATGCGTATATCTAGGATAAAATCCCACAAGCGCAAACGAAACTATTTCTCTATAAAATTGAACTGAAAAGACTCACAGCGACCGTTTCCAACAGTGCTTCAGGCACCCGACGACACCGTATGGGGGGCCTTTAGCACTGTCACCTTCTCATCTTGGGATGTTCACGTTATCGCGTGTACATGTCAGGGTGACGAAGATGCATTATTGCTAATAATGTCTGTGTGCACTGATGCACGCTGCATTATTTTTAATAATGTTGTGTGCTATTTTAACGCGTACATAGAATATGACGCGTATAAACATTTACCCCTGAGCCGGAATTTCCCTATACAGCCAAAAAGGCCGCTCCCGTTTTTCAGTATAACGTTAAATGAAAACTTCTCGACTTTCGCTGATATAATGCAGAGAGAAAACAATAGGTTTGATGAGGGCCAGTAATTATTGTCAATAAAATATTAAAACGGAGCTTTGATTAACTGATTCACCATTTATACTAGTGAACTATTAAACTATCGTGATTTATACAATTTTTGGATATTTACAAGACGATTCCCTATCCGAGGTTAACGCCGAGTCGGCGTCTTGTTAGAATTTGAATGGCTGGTGCATATATTATGCACGTCCTAATTACGCATTCAGTATAAAGTTTTATTTAATTGACCGGGAAAAGCAAGACAAACTTTTGTTATTTCTCATTCAATTTTTAACCAAATTCAACCAATTAATCAGTTCTTCCTTAGCCGATGGGAAATGCACTCACAAAATTTCGTACGGATATGTTTGGTATTTCTTGAGTTATCGTGCTCACAGACAAACACACACACACACACACACATATACATACATACACACATACAAACCCAGATGATTACATAACCTCCTGGCGGAGGTAATAAGAAATTCAGATCTATAATCAAACGATTTCAGTGGATGGTCAGCAACTGAAGCAACAACAGCTTTTTGATACCTAGGAAGTTGGCTACAGGGGAATGGTGACCTGGATAAAGATACAGGGAAGACTACAGGAAACACATGCAGGAATTTTAGTGGGAAAATATTTAACAAACGGATGCCAATGAGACTGAAGACGCAGATGTACAAAACGATGGTAAGACCGGTGATCCTATATGGCATAGAAACTTACCATTGAGAAACAATTGCTCTCATTTTCATTACTTTTGGTATCTAAATAATACAAAAAGGAAGAACTTCGAGTCACAATTTTAACACGCTTATCTTTTACTTTCCCTGAGTGTAAATAGCCCGGCGGAATTTGTACCCTCGCCCCGGACTTACGCCAGTAACGGCGCTCCGCGCCGTTGGCTCCGGGACTATAAGCTCCTTGTATGTTTGAATGGTAAAAGCATGCTAATTCTAGAGGCAACAGCTAGTGGGCATTATGCTGCAATGTGGGCTGCAAAGTGGGCATTATGCTGGATGTTCATTTTTTGCTGACCATAAACGATCGTTTGAATTAACTTTATACCGATACTGGGATCAAACATTTTGGATGTTTATCAAAGCTGTGATAAGTGCTTCATGACAGTAAACGAATCATCATAGTTAACCGGGCCAGCCCAGCTCCATATGGACAGCCCTTAAATTATAAATCTTACTGTTTCGCCTCTCATTAAAATATGTCGGTTATCCAGCTGAGTATCAACACCAGATTCCTAAAGAGTAACAAAAAATACCCATAATCAACATTTATTTAAGATCAATACACTTTCCGGACTGAAATCATCACATCCACATGTAAATTTATGCTGTAGAAATGTAAATTGTAATCGTAATACTTGAACACATACCGGATTCTTGATGGCGTCAACGCCGCCAGGTGGGGCTAAACCAATCAATTGCCAGCAATCAACCTTCATCTCATGACCGTCTGGTGCCTAGCAGGGATTATAAACGCATGAATTATTAATACGAATAAATTTGCAGTTGGAGGGCTGGCCCGGAATCGCAGGGCCGCGGGTTCAGTTCCTGCCAGGGACCTATAGTTGCATTTTTCGCAACTGTTCCTGGTTTGGTCTAATAAATGTATAAAAAATTACACTTGAAGTTTACATCTACAAAAACCTTCAACAATTAGATCTATCAAGTGAGATGCCCACAATTCTGATGCATATATTTACCCAACACATGTATGGAATTCTGGTGTTTGCCGGCATAAATATGTTTTGGTAAGAACTACATTAGCTGATCCCATCGGTTCATAATCGTTATTAACAATCGATTGAATATCGATTAATCGTATTCATTAATTCATTTAAATTTTACATGTTCCTCGCTTGTTGTTACCCAACAATTCTGTCAGTATTTACATTCAAAATTGTTTGCTCAAGGTACTTCAAGGTTATAGACTGCGCATTCGGAGAGTTCACACAAGTAGACAACTGACAAGACAATGACGATGTTTAGTTTACATTTGACACTTCTAAATGATACTGTAAAGGCACAGACCCAACGAATGCAATTTGGAAACGCAGCGCGATTTTTCAATTTTCAAAAGTTAATAACACCGTCTGTGAAAAGAAATTTTGAAAGCAACGTAAACCAAATGATCCAACATGACATAAGCTACTAAATTTTCGGAAAACTTAAATCAGGATCAATTATCTGTCAGTGAAATGAGTACTGATTAATCTATCATGTCGTGCAGAATTGTTACACATGCATGATCCGATTATTGTTAAGTATAATCCATTGCGGAAAAACCCACGAAAAATCATCGGTTTGATTGATTGATTGATTGATTGATTGATTGATTGATTGACATCCTCTTTTAAAAAGACAAGTTAAAATATATGCTCTTCAATGAAGACGTGTACCAATGCTAGCAAACTAATTTCTAATAAATAAATATCAAAACATTTACAATAGTTAATACAGACTACATATGCAAAGAAATTAATATAATACAATTATTAGAAAATTTTAGATTTAAACTTTACAAGAGATTGAGCTCCAGCGAGATCGACGGGTATATCGTTCCACAGGGTAACCCCTCTATAAGTAAAGCTTTTTTTAAGGATTCGCTTTGAACAAAAACTTTATGACTACACTGGAAAAAATTTTGAAAATCCATATAAGGTCATAGAATTGAATGGAAATTGTATGGACCTTCGTTGGAAATAGAATGGATTTTGATTATCGAAATTGTATATTTCCATACTATGGATATAATATCGAAATAGTATGGATATACTATGGATTTAGTGGTGCAATTGCCAATTTTGTAGTATGGATTTCATATTTTTTCCCCAGTGTAGAGCCTTGCAAATTGTGTTCGATTAGTAGGGAGCATGGTACAACTGAAGCCAACATACCGACTTCGCTTCTAGAACTGCAGAGATCTTTCCATACACAGTCACAGTAGACTCTGTCGACAACAGTAGCGCATTATACGTTTGACACTAGATTAAACAAACATACAACAAAGAAAAAAATGAAAAGGCTAAAACAAAGGACTAGATACTAGTCCGGCGTTTATACGGTTCGCACGAGAACTAGCCCACCCTGTGGAACCTAACCTGACCTTTCCACAAAACGGAAATCGAAAGCGAAGAGCATAAAAGTGTGTGCACAGGAAAGACGTCCGTATAGAAAGGTTCTTCTGTTTCTTGCAATGAAAATGAAATCTATCCATCTATCTATCTATCTATCTATCTATTTTTTAGCAGTACTATTGCTTACCAGTTTGTCAGAGAACACACATTGAAGAAAACCAGTACCATCTCTTAAAAGAAGAAACATCAATGTCTTCCCTTGAAAAGAAACATCGGGAAATCAATTAGTATAATAGTTTGAATGAATTAAATTTAAGTACACTCTGTGCAAAGCAAAGCAAACTAAACACAGTACCTTGTCTTCTTATTCTGTGAACCCATGCTTGAATCATCACGCGTTCATCACGGTGGCTTGTGGCATCTCGTATTTTGATCTGCAGAAGTAAGTTAATGTACATATAAACCTTATATATATTTTATTTCTCTCAAGCACATTTGAAGAACGGCTTTGAGAATTATTTTGTCTGGAAATAGTTGCTATCATCTTGTAACAAGGTTGATGAAGCCAACAAGCACGCAACAAGTTGTTCCAACAAGTCTGATATCGTCTGCACATAACAGGTTATTAACAAGTTGATGACAACGAGCTCGTAGCAACTTGTTATACGAACAGCCTGTATAAAAGATGTTGCAACAACCTGTAGCAAGTTTGTTACCGTCATCAACCTTGTAACAAGGTGATAACAACTTGTTCCAGACTTGTCACAACAACTGGGAACATGCAGTGTGAACACATCCTGATGTCGGCTTGACAACAACCTTGTTACAACTTGTGTGCAGCTCAAACTCCTTACTAACCTTTCTCGGTTTGGGCAACGAAGGATCTTCTTCAATAACGATCTGGTTGGCCTCGTAAAATGCCTGACGGAATAATAAAGTTCAATTTCTCAAAATAAATTGGGTTTTTTTCTTAAAATAAGAAAATTATTTTTTTGCTGTGAGTATTATGCATGGTAGCCATTTTTCAAATCGTTTCAAAGAAGAAACAAAAAAAAAATCGGCAAACCATACTTCCTTCTCTTCTCAAAAAATATACACTTCAATAGCTTGTGTAATTCAAAACTAAATGAGTTGAAATACGAATTGTGGAGTTACTGGCTAACTCCAAAAATCATTTGGAGCTAAGTATTACTCCCAAAGTGATAAAAAAAACTAGGTATCTAAGCCTGGAGTTTTGGATTTTTCCAATGGCAAAATTTTCAATTGCAAATTTTTTCAAAGGACCAAAAGTGCCCTTTTTTGTGATGAAAAGTGCCCTTTTTGTACAAGCTAAGGTCGCTGTAAATACTAAATTCACTCATTCATGACGAAGTGTTCTAAAATTTACTTATTCTGAAAGGCCACTCGCCGCAGTTTCTTAAAAGTCTGACTAAACAAACGGTAGACTGAAAAATCGTTCATCTGAAAATTTGTCCATAGACGCATGGACAGTCCTCGAAATTAACGACGGCAAATGGCAATTGCTGCCGATAATGTCGCCGAAAATGAGATTGTCGATGGCAATTATTTGCCGTCGACGATTTTTTTTGGCATTACCTTCTGTATTCGATTGATTCTTCTAAAAGCTTTGCCTGCTATATTTTATTAATATGAACAGATGACTATAAGATATTACACATGGACCTAACCAGCTAGCGAATGTCAAACCCTAGCTTGAAATAACGATCGGACATTTTCCGACCAAATTACAGTTTTTCTGATCAAATCGTAAATTGGTCGGACATATTGTCTGGACTGAATGCTGATCGCAAAAGGTACCATTATATGAGTGTTCAGTACTTTCAGTACCATTATATGAGTGTTGTGTGTTCGAATGAGACCAAAAGCTACTGTTGAAAATAAAGCCTAACTTAATAGGCGGCCATTTTTAATATAAAAGCTATAAAAATTATATTTTTATAATTTTTATTTTTATTTGCCGCCTAAGTTAGGCTTTATTTTCAACAGTTGTTTTTCCATGGACAGGGCCAAATTTTAAATGGAAATTCCATGGGGAAGGCCTAATCTAAAATGGAAATTCCATGGGCAAGGGTAATTTTTACAAGGAAATTCCATGGGAAGGGGTAAATTTTACATGAAAATTTGCTGAAATTCCAGTTGTTTGGATTGGATATCGTTTCCAGGCAATTTCAGGCGCTGAATGTTTTTGTCTGTTGTCACCCAATTTTCAGCCGATAACTCACATGCCTATAGTTACAACCATGATAATGTAAGCATAGAATGGAACAAAGGTAACCACTGAGTTATGCACAGAAAGGATTTAAATCGAGTCCTGTTTTTGGATGAGGGCGTTTTCATTTAAACCATATACCTTCTTACACAATTCCTCTACAATATTAGCGTTACCGTTCTGTATAGCAGAGCACACTAGAAGAGGATGCGAGGCCTTCCGAATAAAATGCATTTCCTGAACAAATGAAAGTTGAAAAAGTAGGCAAAATACGAGAGGAATCGTTATAGGATTTTATCTGAATTAGAATTTCAATGTAATATTTCTAGACCGACAAGTTTTTAGGTCTACGGTTTTTCCAGAGTTGGGGATGGGGTGTGTTCCACCTATATTTCCAGAGCCCGGCTTCATTACGTCCCGCTTTCTATTACCTCAACAAAGCTAGCTCTCGACGTGGAGGCAATGGCGCGAATGAAACCGTCTTGAGTTAAAGAAAATTGAGGTTCATCCATAGCCTCAGTCATTTCTCCACGTAGGTTGGTTTCCATTAACTAAAGTGAAGGATTAAATTAACTTACAATAGATCTCGAACTTGTACAATATTTGTAATTAAAATAAAATTTACCCGAAACATGGCAACAAAACAAGCAGTTAAGCCACGTACACGCGAACAACTTTTCCTTGACGAATTGTTCCTTAAAAATATAATTTTCGTTCAAAGCATGCTTCCAAAACAATAGTTGAAAATTGTCTACGATACCATAGTTCAACTAAAACCGAATTTCAAAATATCGAGATTTAATGGCAATGACTGCGAAAATTATACTTGTCAAGTTCTCCTTCTCCTGACTATATAGCTTTTCGCTTTTTCCTGACTATATAGCTTTTTCATACAAACGATCAAGTAATGTTAAAAACCATGTTATTTAATATAAAGATAAACGTATTATGTGTACGATATATGAATAAAATGTATACGCTTCGACACATACGATAAGGATTAAACAACGTGTTCGAAAGTCATGTGATCACCGTCCCCCATTGGCGTCCAATCATAGCGCTTAAAACAAAATACTTTATATATGCAATAATATAAATGACTATTACTAATTTTAACAAAACTGTCAAGAAAACGTTTTCAAGGAAAACTTGCTCGTGCCTGTACGGGGCATTAATGAAGTATAGCCAGTGAGCTCCATATATATCTGGAGTAAGAACTTCAGTCATTCGGCCAATGAGAAAAGTGAAGCCAAGATGGCGGCCATTGACGTTCAATAGCTCTGAAGGTCGTAAACAGCTTTTATACCATTTTCCCAGCTAAATCTTTCCCAGCTAGTTTTTTCTAACGGACCGTATCGCTAACCAAGTTATCAGTTCATAAAACCATAGTGTTATTCTTTAGATCGATGTCAAAATACGAAATTTCGGCACACTCCTTGCCAAGATGGCGGAAATTGAAGGAGCTTTTGGACGTCAGTTCCAATACCTTTCTATTGTTTTTGTCTGCGCGGTTAACACGAAACTGGTGGCTTCACTTTTTGGACTCGAGTTCTCGCTCCTGATATATATATATATATATATATATATATATATATATATATATATATATATATATATATATATATATATATATATATATATATATATATATATATATATATATATATATATATATATATATATATATATATATGGAGCTAGCTCACTGAGTGTAGCACGTACCTTCTTCTTTTGTTCTCGCGACATATCACGATAACCCAATACGTAGGTGAGTTTTGTCAGAGCTGCTTCGGAAGTTATATCTGAACCACACACTACACCAATATCAAACAGAATCTACAAACACAACAAGCTTCATTTATTTACAGTAATCTTGCCAGAAACTAGCCGATAAACTTAACTAAAGTTTTTATATTGAATAGCTTTGAACTTTTCTCCCTACTGGATTGATAGGGGTACAACTACATGCAGAAAATTGAAGGTTTCCTTGTATTCTTAAGGTTGTTGTATCCCTAGCAATCCGCAGCTTCCTATTCCAGGTGATCTCGTGTTCGTATTTTAGCCAATCAGCGCTCAGAAAGGGTTGTCCGAATAGAAATCCATTTTCATGTATTCAGTCAATTATATCTTTCGTTATTCTTTATGAAACTAGTTGAAATTTTGTTATTATGTTTGGTTATGAGAACTATAGCTCTGACAAAAATATGGAATCGAAATAAAGTATATTACAGGAGATATTCAGTTGTTTTAATCATAAAATGGATTTCTATTTGACAACTAGTGCCAGTACTTTTCCGCGTATCAAGATCATCTGGTTATTGGCACAACCTCAGAGATTGAATCACTGAAATGTTATACCACAGGAAGAATCCAATCCCCACTTTTACAACACCTGTTTCAGAGGACAAAATTTGACGGGTTAACACAAGCATTTGGCACAGATTTATAAGTTATGTGTTATCTAAAGGAACTTCCATAAACGAAATAATCACCGCATGAAAGGCCTGCACTTTGAAAAAACGTCTTGCAGTTGCTCAGCAATCTTTATGACAGTCTTTTGTTCATCCCCCCATTTTAAACCAATGCACACTTTTCAGTAACCCCCCCCCAACTATTACAAAAAATTGCAACCTCTCCTTTTTCTTGTTCTTTTTGAGACGGTTTATCCTACCCCGTAAAGGTGGAGGGGTGTGGGTGCTTGAACTACGGGTGCACGCAACTGCAGCCCCACCGACACCTTTATAGTTCTGCTTAAGGTTTCGATATTTATAATAACAATACTGTCTACCTTTCCAGTTTCATAACTGCCGATAACAGTTCCTTTCAAACACTGAGTACAATTGACAATAATCACTCCTCTATCAGTTGCTTCTTTGAGGATCTCAATAAAACGGTCCGGACAATTGCCAGCCCCAAATGTTTCCAGTACTATTCCTTCAACTGGAGCGCGACAGATCGACTTCACCTATAGAGAATGAAAAAAATATGGATCATTATACTTCTTAACATAGGCATGTTTCCTATCAAACGAAATCTATCAAAATGACCAGCAGTGATCAATGCACCAAGCAAGTTGTCTCGACCATCAGTTCGTTGTCCGAATATTGGTACCTACAGCAATGTAACAATATAATTGAGGAAAAATAATGGATGATGCCGTTGTTCGAAAACTGTAAGTTGCTAGATTTGAAACAAATGATGTTAAACGTAACCACGGTTATTCGAATTAATTCGAAACTAAGATTATTATGATTCAAAACCAGCACACTATTCTTGACGTTGCTAACGGTTTTCCAGAGTTTATTCCGCCCAGTGATCTAAGCGATCTATATAATGTTTGGATGTTTTGGTGTCTGGCTGGATATTTTGAGCTATAGCTTGTGCTCAGAATTTCTATTAGCAAACGCAATAAATGGATGTGGTCCACTCCAATTTACAAATACAAATCCCATGTTAGAAAACATACTAAACAGACGACGCGTGTTATATTTTCATTCTCTCGTGTTTTCTACCAAGTAAAATGTATATATGCTTTCCTTTCTTTCCTTAAAGTGGAAGTCAAGTCCGTTCCATAGAATAGGAAATGAATAGAAGGGCATCTTGAGTCGGAACACCTGTTTCAGATAAATTGTTCGTTAGAAAGAGAAAGCTTCAAATACAGCGGCCGTAAACAATTCGTCGGTGGAAAATATTAGAAGATCGAATGGGCCATATGTTATTAAGTATAGGAACGCCGTGGTTTCCACTATGAATTTTGTCCATCGGCTCTGGCTGCGCGCTATTTTACTTAACGATAAAATTACGATATGAAAAATTCAAATTTCCCGCGCTAATAGTTAATTATTAACCTTAATATAAACCAACTTGAAGACGGTATTTTCGCAAATTAAAACGTTTAGACCGACATAGCGACATTTACGTGCTATTGATAGCTTTTTGATATAATTGTTTTGGGGGGAAGTGGGGGGCGAATGTGATGTCTCAATATTTTTTGCCCCTGATTGTAGGGCCGCTCGAAGGGCAAAAAAGTTTCCAAGAAAGGCAGATTTGCGAATTTTGGTGATAGGCCTTCTCGCTTCCCATCTATCTCCAGCGCGCCTAGCATCGCAGAAGCGAAAGGCAGGAACTAGGCTGCATTATTTCTACTTTAACGTTCATGCATGGAGTATGTTCAAGCCGGTTTGTCCCGAGAATGCAAACTGATCGTAACGAAAAAAGGCCTTAAATCTCCTAAACTAGCTTACTTGCTGCGGCTCCGGTGTATTACATACCGTCTCATTTGTTATCCCTGGGAACAATCTCAAGACACCAACATTTGGATTCAAATCTGTACTAACATGAAACTGTTTGTTTAAATTCCTGCAAAATATTGCATCCCAGCGAACTGAAAAAATACAAAAGACAAAATTAGGCTATATGCAATTTATTTGTAACTCTAACCATTATCGTATATCACGTGCTCTTATATATAGACCACGTTCATATTACACGAGCGAAATAATGCCGGCAGAATTACGTGTGTTCACACTGTGCCAATATTTCATGACGTACGAAGCAACGAAGATGTTTGCTATCCGGAAAATGAAGACGCAATTTACAAACAAAAATACGCATGTTTTACGCACAGACATATTACAGAAGCATGCGGTGCCGTAGGAAGCTCTATTTTATTGGGGGGCTGAAAACGGAAGGCCCGAGGAAATTTTTAAATTTTGAGTCTCTGAAATGCCATTACCTGGACTTTGGGGGGAGTTTTTAACAGAATTATGATGGTCAGAAAACAGCGTTTTTGTGATGTCGAAATTTACAATTTAGTAGAACAAAATGGGCAAAGGAGTATTTAATGAACTATATATTGGAGAAGTTGCAGGAAAGAGTATGGGTAGTATGATTTTTTGCGGTTTGTCATGGATAATGTAGCCGCTTAAAATTAATCAATTGTCAGTATTTTAAAGGTATATTATTTAAATGATAAACGTGTGCATGATTTTGAAAACAGAATGATTATTAGCAAATTATTGTGAGGGCTGCAGCCCCCCTCCCCCCCCTCCCCGGTTGCTACGGTCCTGAGAAGTAATAAACCGAAAAACCTATACCGATTTACGATTTGTTAAATGTTATCTATGTAAATGCCGTGATTTCGTAAATCAGTTTATACTGACAATACAATTACAACGAAAAGCATTCGAGTTTTGAGGCCTGAGATGCTTGGAAGCAACTGCGTTTGTGTTCACACGAAGATTTTGATTTTAGATCCCATTGTTTTCCCACCACTGAGATCTGTTTGTTACGTTATTTTGCTCTGCTATTTGATATTAACTAACTGCACTAAAATCAACCAATCACAGTCGAGTAGGCCTTAAAATATCTTTTACAAGGCCGTCTGACAAAATGTCCGATGAATTTTGATAGGACATATGTTTGATGATGTCCGATGACCGTGGGTTCAATTAATTTGAATGAATGAATGATTTATTTGCCACGCACATATTATTAAAATTTACATAAATTAGGAGAATATAAATAAAGTGGCGAGGAGACCTCATGAAACCATCAGGCTTATTTTGAGATCACTTCAAGATATTAATATAACTGAATAATACTTATATAGAAAATATAGGGATATAGAAAATAATAGATATTTAACTCACAGCTGCATGTAGTGCATTTGTGCGGCACAAACTATAATTAAGTAGAAATTCCATCATAGTTTTCTTAAAACTATAGAGGCTAAGTGAATCTTTTATATTTGTTAGCAGAGAATTCCAAATTTTTGGTCCTTGATTAACGTATTGTAATTTTTTTGAGGTTTGTACGACAAGTGTAGGTGCGATAGTTCGTTGCTGATCTAGTGTTGTAATTATGTATTTGATTATTGCGTGTGAATAAGTCAAAAAATATATTGGTAATAATTGACTATTGTAGCAGAACATAAATCGTGCTATACAGTATAGAGTTAGTTAACTTTGAATATATCTAGTATACCTAATTGTGAGAATAAAGGGGTAGAGTGGGCACGAAAATTAGAATTTGTTATTGCTCGCACTGCACGTTTTTGTAAGTAAAATATTCTATTTACATTAGTTACATATGTAGATGACCAGGCGATATTACAATAAGTGATATATGGATAAATCAAAGTATAATATAAAGATAATTTAGTTTTAGTTGATAAATAGAAACGAGACCTATATATTATGCCAACTGAAGGTGTTGATCAATGTATACACCTAAAAACTTTGTGGTGTTTTCTTGTTTAAGTATTTCATTGCCATAACAAAAAATAAAATTGTGTGGAATTTTTTCTTACTCGATTTGAAAATAACATAGTTTATTACATTTCATCCAAACATCAAACATCTGCAATTCCTCATTCATTACAGACTCCAAGTAGTTTGGATCAGAATGCGAGTAAAATATGCTGGTGTCATCTGCAAAAATCAGCGACTCTGTCAGTGTAGAAGCATACGAAATATCATTGATATATAAGATGAAAAGCAATGGGCCTAGTATAGATCCCTGAGGAATACCACATACTATGGTTTGTTGTGAGGAACGCGATTCTTTAAACTGAACAAATTGTTTACGGCCCACTAAGTAGCTTTTTATCCACTTCAAAGTTATACCATTGATGTCATAGTGTTGTAATTTAGCAAGTAAAATCTCATGGTCAAGAGTGTCAAAAGCTTTTGAAAGATCTAGGAATACACCAGCCTAGTCCCAGGCTCTCTCTATTCGCTGCTTTGATATATTTAAATAAGTCTTACTGTCGTTCCAATTGAAGTGTTGCTCAAATATTGATTCAATACATTACCTCGGACTGACCAATTAATTCATTTGATCAAGTTCCTCGAGATATTCATACACTTCCTAGTATAATTGTAAACTTCCTGTTGAATAGTTTGAATGCACCAATCACCTTTGTTGTTTGTGCAACTAACCAATCGTAAATAGAAAGGAAGTGACCAGAAATGATCAAATACTTGGAATTGGCTCTTTCACAGGAAGTGTATGAATATCTCGAGGAACTTGATCAAATGAATAGGTCGGCCCGAGGTAATGTATTGAATCAATATTTCAGCAACACTTCAATTGGAACGACAGTAAAAGTTTTATGCCTGGGTGTGCTGTGCGGAACGCTTCGGCGAGAGAGCCTAGCAGATTTCGGTAAAATGGTCCCTGATTTCAAAAAAGTAGTCCCTGGCCTGGTTACCAAGCATACCGCATTTGTAAATAGAAAATGTTATGGAAATTTCCTTTGCGTTTATAATTAAGTCATTAGTTTTGCTCTAGTGCTGTCGGAACAATGAAATAGGCTACGTTTTTAAGGCTACTAAATCTGACTCGTGTTTACTAAAATATAAAGCCATAGTAAATGCTATCTAGAAGCTTGAAAATTATGCCGAGTCTCCGACTAAAAATGTTTTGACAAGACTGTCATGTCAGGCAAACATTTCCAATCTCCTCAGCTACTTAAACCTGTCAAGTAGAAAGCGTAGTTGTGTATACCAGTACGTATGGTCTAGTGTTGATCACAACTTGCGAGTATATAAATAAGATCAACGATTCACGACCATTGCTCAGACTCAGTATCGTAAATTTGTATATAATTTTTTTTAATTGAGCACATTTTTAATACAGTTTGAATTTGGTTATGTAGACATCGAACATGATCAACGAACATTGTCGTATTTACAAGGTTATTTGTATATATAAATTTTCCGCCATATTAAAAATACTGAAATCTGCTAGGCGTTCTGGAGCACCTTTAGCGGTGACGTCACACCTAGGTCCCAGTCTTGTACCACATCCACGTTTTTTCTCGCGCTTGCTTCAGAACGACTGGGACTAGGCTGGGAATACACCAGCAGTAACCTCTTTACGATCAATAGCTGTTGTGATTTTGTTAACCAAATGAGTTAACGCCAATGAAGTCGAGTGATTCTTTCGAAAACCAAATTGACAGCAGTAAAGAATTTCGTATCCTTTCAATAAAATCGCTCAAGCGGTTATGCATAACTTTTTCAAAAAATTTAGAAAAGCTTGTTAGCAGAGAAATTGGCCTAAATTTGGCTCGGAAATTTGGCTCGGAAATTTGCCTCGGAAATAACTCTGAATGACCCGAATTAATATCAGCACAATGTATTAATTCTGAACGGTAAATGTTGCGAAGATATTAAATAATTTGTGTCATTCATATTCGACAACTTAAGCCCCAGCAAAAACTCTTCAACTTTCTTCCAGTTAAAATTTCAGGTTTTCAAACCTTTCTCAACATAATATGCATTAGCTTTTTCAATTTGCAAAATATATAAATTATGTTCATTCAAATTAAATCACTTTTTATTCCTAATGACTAGTATTTAGCACTGATCAGCTGGTTGATTGCATTGTCCCCGAGCCGACGGCGCGAAGCGCCGTGCGAGGGTACTAATCCCCCCCGGCTATTAACACCCGGGGAAACGAAAGCATTAGCGAAGTTTAAAGTTCACCAATAATCGCGGGCGTGGCTCACTGCGCGTGGGCTTATAGTTCAATGTGCGTGGGTGATCATCCTCACTGATCTCAAAAATATGGCGGACTGTCATGAATAGCGAACACTGTGATTGGTCCAATTTAAAGTTTGCATTATAACGACTGTATGATGACAATGAAATAGCAAACATTTCTTGATTTGATGATTGATAAATTTCTTGCAAATATATTTCATTTTTGATCGCATTTTTGCAAGATTTTGTAAATTTCAAGAAAGAAAGGGCGAAAGAATCGGCTAAAAGAAGGGAGCCGACGTTAACGAAGGTAAGTTTGTTTTAAATATTGATTTTATAATTGCTTTAAAACCTGACGGCCTTTTGACTTTGCGAGTTTGCGTATATAAAACAACTAAACAAGACAGCATATAATTTCAGTGTATTTTTAATATTGATTCCCTTTTTTATTATATTGAATTTTTTAAATAAAAAAGAAAGCAAAGTTATTTGCATGCGAGAATTTGAAATCATTTTATTGCAAACTCAAAGTTTATCTATACATCCATTTAATTAAAGCCAGGCAGTTTAGTTTTTATATGAAGAACACTTTAAAACGTTTTGCGAAGCGTTTGTGGTTGAATTGACCTTAAATTGAAGCTTATATTACGTATAATATACCTAACATATATATGTTGGGAAATTGATAATTTTGTAATTAAAAGTGATATTTTTAGGCGATTTTTCATTTGTAAGAATATTCTTAAAAAATTATTGTGTTACCATGACAACTACTTTAGATACTTCATGTTCGGAAAATACATCAAAGATTAGCTAGATACGATAAAGATGTGCCACTCGACGTATTTCCCTAATGTTTGCGTGTCCGTAATTTTCCGTGCTGATCACGAGTGACTATACGCGAGATGACGAGTGCATAACACTTACTGCCAAAATGGCGGCGAGACTGATATGACGAATATCAGTCTCTATATGGCGCTATATGACGAATTTGACACTTGCTGGCAAAATGGCGGCTATAAAAAAATCTCGGACATAATTTTCGCAGAGTGGCACATCTTTATCGTATCTAAATCTTTGATACAATGGTTTTGTCAGCAAGGCAGGGTTTCTGCATGCATGTATTTTCTAGTAATCACATACATATATACACATAAACAGTACAGGCTGGCGACTGCTAGCAGATGTATATGTTACCGCTTGCTACAGAAACACGGTCCCCAGAAGTTAGAGTGTTCCACCATAAACCTTCCTCACTGACCTCACATATGGTAAACCTTCCTCGCAGGTGATACCTATACATACCCGCAGTTTTATTTTAAAACATATTTTTAATCAAAATAACAATCATAATAGGTCGGTGGTTTCCTCTCTACGTCGGACAATTTCACGAATGGGTCGGACATTGTCCGTGACTGACCGATATTTTAAGGCCTGCAGTCGAGTAATATTTTTATGTATATTATTATGCTAGTAATTGACTTATTATTGTACCATATTGTTGCGCTTTTGGCATATATATCGTAAATCACAGCCGTAAACAAACTTTACCGTCAATTTTTATTTTCACTGTTGCGAGCGGCGAAAGATTGGGTGAATCAAACGCATGGAAACCACTACAGTTGATTTTCGTTGTCCGGTTACCACGATATAAATTGCCATCAAAAAATAATGTTACCTAAATATATAAAATAATTTTTTTTTTTAAATATGGATGATTTCAAAAAAAGTCTTTGTAGTAGTTTTTATATATAATGAAGAACATTAGTGCATACAACCCTCAACTCCACAAATTCGAACCAGAACCACACATGCAGCTTTCCTTTTCATTCATGATGTGAAAGTTCACTTGTTTTAATTTTTTATAAAAGAAAGAGGAAAATTATTTTCAAGAGCTACCTGTAGGATTTAAATTTATTTCATTTCAAAATACTCGTAATATTAAAGTTGATCGAAGAGTTCATCGCCAAAGAGCAGTTTATAATTTCAATGAACATTTAAAAACGTTTTACGAAGCCGTTTCGCGTTGAAATTGAATTTTACATTATAATAAAGCCCATGCATAGAAAGCAAAATAACATACCTACTTTATATATATTAGAAATCGATAGTTATGTGGTTAAAAGTGTGAAACATTAATATATTTTTGCTGTTTGAACAAAAAGTTAAGAAAACAATAGACAATTGCAGCTATCGACTAATTTTTTATCCGTGCATGGCAAGAAAGGCGAAATCTATATATATCATTATAGCTCAAAATTAGAGCATGGCCTAAAATATATTAGTAAAATTGCAAAGTTTGGTTGCGAAGTGTTGTAAAATACGAAAAATAAGCCATGTGAAATTAGCGAATTTTCAGTATTTTAGAATTATGCGCGGTGAAAATAACCACTTTCTGCTCAAAAATGGTTATTTTTACCGCGCGTAATACATAACTTATAACTAGTAAAATACTGAAAATTCGCTAATTTCACATGGCTATATTTTCCGTATTTTACAACATTTCGTAACCAAACTTTGCCGGTAATTTTACTAATTTTAGGATGCTCTTTTGAGCTATAATGATAGATTTCGTTTTTCTTATCTAGATAAAAAATTAGTCGATAGCCGGAATTGTCTATTATCTTGTTGCCATAACCTGAAGTTCAGGCCCTACTGTTGCCATGGCTAGCATGACGCGAGCCTACGTTCCGTGTTGGCGTTATTGAAGTACTTCATGTTGAAACAATATTTGGAATATGTGAGCCAGGGGTGCATGTTGCATGCATGTATTTCTAGTGTAGATATAATTACAGTCAACCGCATGTTCTCTTGCGAGCAACATTGCAATATTATCCCACAATATTGCAATTTTGATAGGCAGATTGCTCTCAGCAAATTGCAACCGACGCGAACAAATTGCAAGTTGGAAACTCACAAAAGATTTGTAAGCAAAGCCTCTGATTGGATTATAAGAAAGAGGGAAGCCAATCAAATAGTCTGAGCAACTGGATTGGTGCTTCCCCCTTTCTTATAGTCCAATCAGAGGCTTTGTTTACAAAACTTTTGTGAATTTCAACTTGCAATTTGTTCATGTCGGTTGCAAATTGCTCGGAGCAACCTGCCTATCAAAATTGCAATATTGTGGGACAATATTGCTATGTTGCTCGCAAGAGAACATCCGGTTTGACTGTAAAGGTGGAAAGAGTATTGTTGTGGCAGTTGGAAGGAGCAGATTTACAAACATAGTTCCACAGTTTTATAAATAGTTTCCATAGTTCCATTGTTCCACAAAACTGGACAAACCTCTGGTATAACAAAATGACCAGCAATGATCAATGCACCAAGCAAGTTGTCCCGACCATCAGTTCGTTGTTCGAATATTGGTACCTACAGCAATGTAACAGTGCAATATAATTGAGGAAGAAGAATAGATGATGCCATTGTTCGAAAACTGTAAGTTGCTAGATTTGAAACAAATTATGTTAAACGTAACCACGATTATTCGAATTAATTCGAAACTAAGATTATTATGATTTAAAACCAGCACACTATTCTTGACGTTGCTAACGGTTTTCCAGAGTTCATTCCGCCCAGTGATCTAAGCGATCTATATAATGTTTTGGTGTCTGGTTGGATATTTTGAGCTATAGCTTGTGCTCAGAATTTCTATTAGCAAACGCAATAAATGGATGTGGTCCACTCCAATTTACAAATACAAATCCCATGTTAGAAAACATACTAAACAGACGACGCATGTTATATTTTCATTCTCTCGTGTTTTCTACCAAGTAAAATGTATATATGCTTTCCTTTCTTTCCTTAAAGTGGAAGTCAAGTCCGTTCTGCGCATCGGTTCTGCTCATAATAATGTGAGGACCCTCTAATGTAAACATTGCCCAAATTTCGAATGTTTCGATTTTTCTGAACATAAACTCTATTTCATATTCATTTAGAAGCATAGCGAACCAAAATTGTGTTAGATATTCAGACAGTACATCATATTTTAAAAAATACAGCAGTTCAAAATGTAAACAAACCGTTTGTTTTCATACGGACTTGACTTCCACTTTAACGTTTCACAAAGCCATGAGTGTTTAAAGGCTGATTCCAGGAGAAACTCCTGGTAATAAGTTTTTAGATATTCTTTGGTTGTGAATATATATTTAAAACAACAGCCTTGGTATCAAAACTGGGCCTGAGTGATTGACACAGCCAGTCTTACCTGTGATCCAGTAAGTATGACAGACTTGTCCAAATTTTGAAACATAAAGGAAAGTACTGAAGCTGTATAAGACATTGTATCTGTTCCATGGAGGACAATAAAACTATCAAATTTGTCATAATTATTCTTCACATCCATCGCTATATCAAGCCAATCGTCTATTTGCATATTAGTGGAGTCCTTTTTCTTTGCATATTCTTTGATATAGTAGAACACTCGGACATCATATTCTGATAACCTAGAAGAAAATCACCTCTGACATGTCTTGTATTTTAATTACAAACTACAGTATTATATTGAGTGTTTTGTATGTGGGCTGTTAAAAGCATTTGTACAATAATTTTGTGCTGTAAAAGTGTTACTTTTTGACATATCAAACTTTGCCAGAAATATGGCCTTTCTGAAGAAATTTTTAATACTCTGTACCTTGCAACATTGAATTTTAATGTCGTTCACATTACCTTCGTCAGATGTGAAGAGAAGAAGTGTCATATACATGCACAATGGGACGTTGCATTCTGTTTGATTTGTATTCTATTTCATTCTAATTTTCAAATCTAATACATTTTCACCTAGTATCATTCTGTTTTTTCCTAATTTCATCCCATCATATTGATCAACTATTCATACTTTTCCGTTACCTTGCAATTCTATAGTTCTGGATTTCTATTCAGTTATTGCCTATTCTATTTCTACATTAGATTTCATTATATTCTACATTATTCTATTCTGTTCTATCTCATTTCATTTCATGTCATTCCATTCTATTTTATTATATTCCATTCTATCCCTCTATTTCATTCCATTTGATCCTGTTCCATTTCCTTCTATCCCATTTTATTTACTCCATTCTACTTCATTCTAATCCATTCTGTTCAATTTAATTCTATTCCATTTCATTCTATTATATTCCATTCCATTTCATGCTATTCTATTCCATTCTATTGTAATCCAGTCTATTCCATTTCATTCTATTTCATTCTATTCCAATGAACTCCATTTCAGTTCATTCCATTCTATTCCAGTCTATTCCATTTCATTTAATTCTATTCTGTTCCATTCTAATCAATGGGCGTTATATGCAGGTTTCCATCCAATTTCCAGGAATTTCAGTTACAATACTGGACGTTTTATATGTTGTTTATATCATTATTACGAGTGTTCATCAAAAATTTTGAATCAATAGGGTTAATTCCTCCTCAGTTACAGCTCTTGAAAAATAAAAGTGCTGACATCAGCATTATTTTTGAACGCCTTCAGAAACTGTTATACACAAAATTTAGTTGAACATTCTTGGTTAAGGTTAAGACGGGACTTCATATCTGATATAAAGAGGAATTTAAACATTTTAGCTCAAACTCGCATTTATTTTAGCATTTGATTTTTGAATAAGCGCTTGGTGGTATAAAATTGGCCATTTTATACCACCAAGCATTTATCCAAAAATCAAATGCTAAAATAAAGGCGAGTTTGGGCCAAAACGTTTAGATTCTTGCTTATATCAGGTAAGAAGTCTCGAAATACTCTTTAAACAAACTTTGCTGTCAACAAACTTTACCGTAAATTTTTAATTTCACCGTTCTAAGAATGTTCGTGTTTGTATATAACACAGTTTCTGAAGGCGTTTGAAAATAATGCTGATGTCAGCACTTTTATTTTCCAATACACTGTAACTCAGGAGGAATTAATCCTATTCAGTCAAAATTTTGGTTGGTGAACACTCGTAATAATGATATAAACAACATATATAAAACGTCCAGTATTGTAACTGAAATTCCTGGAAATTGGACGGAAACCTGCATAAGGCCCATTTCATTGTACTCCATTGTATTCCATTACATTGTATTTTATTTCATTCCATTCTATTTCATTCCATTCTATTCTCTTCCATTCTATTCAATTCTATCATATTCTAATATTTTATACTTTTGAGTTTTTATTTCATTACAATGTTTTGAATTCCACTTAATTTCATTAGCATTCCATTCAAATTTTACTTGAATGTATTAATTTAGTAATACACTTACAGGTTTACAACTATCTCTAAATATACAAGTAATCACAGAATATATTATTACAGTAAAAAAAGAAGAACTTTCAATACTTACGGCAGAACAAGCTCCTCAATATCTTTCTCATGGCTAACATCAGGTTTTTTTCTGCTCACATTTGGTACGTAATTATTATCGTGGAACATTGAAAGTTTCTTGAGATAGTCAGCCATGTTAACGTTGACTCCACATTTTAGACCTAAATAGAAAGAGCAACATTTATGTTGTCCTTAACAACTGTTCTCACTGGACAAACTTGGGGACAGCAAACAAACAGTACAAATTACCATGTAAACTAGGGATGAACAAGAAATCCGTGAATTCACATTTTTAACCTCAGCTTATAACGCGTTCCAAACAATTTTGAGAAATTCCAAAATGCCTATTTTGAGTATTATTTGTGCGCGGAATTTATGTAATCTTTCGGCAAAATATCAAAATAATTTGATATTATGCAGATTCGAAGGAGTATGAAGTAAATTTTTGTTATTTTCCACTAAATTTTGCCGAAAATATATTCGCATAAAACATTTATTTTAACTGTGTGATATGTTACCAAGATTTCTAGCCCATTTTTATGCTATACTTATGTTGATTTCCCTCAAAAAGTAATAAAACTCTTATTTTTTTGTTTTTCGAGTGCAATTGTGCGAAGTATTGAAAAATTTATCTTTTAATTCCTTAAATGTGTGGACTACTGAAAAAAGATTTCATTTTGTATCCAAATAGTTGCATTTTAACAGAATTAAATTTACTGTCTGCAAAATACTTGAACGTACTTTTGTAAAAAATGTTAACTGATATAGGGTTGTCAGAATTTCTGACACTTCCATTGCTGGCCAGAGAGAATATCTGAAAAATATGCTAACTGATAGGGTTGTCAGAATTTCTGACACTCCTATTGCTGAGCAGAGAGAATATCTAAAAAATATGCTAGTTGATAGGGTTGTCAGGATTTCTGACACCCCTATTGCTGGCCAGAGAGAACATCTAAAATATATGCTAACTGATAGGGTTCGTTGTCAGAATTTCTGACACCCCTATTTCTGGCCAGAAAATATGCTAACTAACAGGGTTGTGAGAATTTCGGACACAAGTATTGCTGGTCAGAAAAATACCTAAAAAATATGTTAACTAATAGGGTTGTGAGAATTTCGGACACGGGACACAAGTATTGCTGGCCGGAGGGAATATCTAAAAAAATATGCTAACTAATAGGGTTGTCAGAATTTCGGACACCCCTATAGCTGGCCAGAGAAAATACCTAAAAAATTGCTAACTAATAGGGTTGTCAGAATGTCGGACACCCCTATTGCTGGCCGGAGGGAATATCAAAAAAATATGCTAATTGTAGGGTTGTCAGAATTCTGACACTTCTATTGCCGGCCAGAGAGAATCTCTAAACAAATTCTAACGGATAGGGTTGTCAGAATTTTGGACACCCCAAATGCTGGCCAGAGAGAATATCTAAAAAATATGCTAAGTGATAGGGTTGTCAGCAGGGGTGGCGGAAAGTCGATAATTGAGGGGGGGCTGATATTCATATATTCGTGTTCACAGACTGTAAAAACAATCGCTTTCAAAGGAAATAAATGATGCAGAACATGAATATATGAATATCAGCCCCCCCCCAATTATCGGCTTTCCGCCGCCCCTGGCTGTCAGAATTTCTGACACCTCTATTGCATGCTGATCAGAAAGAATATCTAAAAATATGCTGGCTGCTAACTGGCAAAGGGGGCAACGTGCATTTTATGATGTAAGGGTTTTTAACCCATTCGCAAAGAGTCACCTTAATAACCAGAAATTGGACACAGCGTTCGGAAGCAACGAAAACGAAAAGAAGAGACAATACAATCAACGAGTGTTGAGCATGGTTCCTTTACTCCATTAATCTTCACGCCTTATGGGGGAAATAGTAGAGAAACTGAGCGATTCCTTGCAGAACTTGCGTTGAAACTGTCGGGGAGGAAGTAGGTCGAACATAGCATGGTAATGCATTGGCAAAACTGTCTTTTAATTTACTAAGATCTGCAGTATTGTGCTTAAGAGGATCTAGAACAATTAAGCAAGAAGTGAACTATGACATCAACAGCATTGAAATACTTAGCGAAATCGGAAGGATTGTTAATTGTTTAGACTTTTATTGATAACAGTGTAGTTTAACCCGTAGTTCAGGTCGTGTTTTTATGGACAGATAAACAAAAACAATTTTATCTCATGGACAAATACTAACTCTTAAATAAATTTTTGTCCTTTTTAATGTAGTATACAACAAAATGATTAAATAAAGTTTTCTCATTTTTATTATCCAGCCACTGACAAATTTAATAAATTCGACTTGGTAACATTCCTATTGATTGGAAATCTGGCCAATTAACTCCAATATTTAAGAAGGGGCAGGATCAGGATAATATGGAGAAATCCTGTATAGACCTGAGCTGGTATTAATTATATTTGACACCATATTCGAAAAATGTCTACTATTGGTTCGTAATCAATCGGCTTTTCGTAAATATCATGGATGTCGTACGTCGTTACTTAATCTAATGGAAAATTGGAAGTTTAATCTTGATGCCTAACAGTATGTCGGGGTTGTTACACTTGATCCTGGGGACTATGCAAAGCAAAGTCTCATTTAACTATTAAATATCGTTGTTTTAAGATGTTTGATAGCGCTAAGTTCATCAAGGACCTTGAGAACATTCCTTGGTAAGAGTTGCTATTAAGGCTGCTATTAAGGCTGCTATTAAGGCTGCTATTGACACTGATAACTGATTCGGATGTAGCCTTAGATACATTTGAGCGATTATTCAATGACTTTATCAATGATCACGCGCCTATGAAAGAGAAACGTGTTAAATTATGGCGCCAGCCCCCTTGGATGAAACCAGAAATCTTGTCTGAGATGAAGAAACGAGATCGTCTTCTTAAAGAGGCTATTAATGTTTCTGGTAAAGCCAACAGAAACACTGAGGAGTGGCGTCTTTACTGTAGAGCGCGTAACGAAGTAGTCTGGCTAATAAAAAGAAGCAAACGGGAATTTTACAGATCATCTATTGAAGAAAACGAAGGTCACCCTGGAAAAATGTGGAACTCGATTAATGGCATCTTGAAACGTGATAAAAAATCCTTCTCTGTAAGATCAATAAAAGAGGATGGGGTCGAGATCAAGGACTCCCATGGGATAGCTGATTCTTTCTGTAGGTATTTTGCTAATATTACATCTGAATTTATGGTTAAAACACCTATACTTACAACAAGCTTTCATAAACTAAAGAAATTTATCGAGTTCAAATGCTTAACTGCTTAAGTGACACTAAGTTCAGTATTGCAATGGATGATGTAGACTTTGTGAAGAGCCAACTGCTTAAATTTGAGACGAATGCAGCTGTTGGTCTTGATTCAGAGGTCTTGATTATTTGGGAGCCAAAATTCCAACATTCCAAACGGCCATACTGGGCATGAGCGAGCGACAATTATCCAATCAAAATCCACTATTTTAATTTTCCCGCGAATACGTTTGTTTTGATTACATCATTCATGGTTGATACTATGACATCATAACTGAGACCCAGGTCAATGAGGTCTTGCGCGGAATTCAAGATGGCGTCGGGCAAATAATGTGTGCATTCCTCGATTTAGCCGCATGTAAATAACAGAGATTTTACAAACTTCGATGAGCAATTCCTCCTTACCTAAAAAGAATTGTCTTTTCAAACTTCGCCAGTAACCTAACCTAACGTAAGTACAATCTCTTGTTTGCACCTCAATATATTTTTAGTAGAGTGTTCCTTTATAAACAATGTTAATAGGTCTACGTAAAGCCTTTGATCTTGTTGATCATTCATTACTGCTCCAGAAATTGCACTTGTATGGTTTGGACGATCATTAGCATCACGCATTGTCTTGGTTTACTTCTCACCTCAAAGACTCAGAATTTCAAGTGAAAATCGAAAATGTGCTTTCTTCTAAAGCATCCATTAAATCAGGTGTACTGCAAGGGTCAATTCTAGGCCCTTATTATTATCCATATGAATGACCTTCCCTTACACCTGAGTGACACCCAAATAGATATGTTTGAAGATGATTCTACTCAGTATGTATCTGGTTGTTCAGTCCAGAGTGTACAAGAACAACTCAGTACCGAAATTTTACCCATTATACAATGGGTAAAAACAAAACGAATAAAATGGTTCTCAACGAACAGAAAACTAAGGCAATGTTTATAGCATCAACCAGGAAAGTGTATGAGATCCCGCAGGATTTAAACATTACTATAAATGATTTCCAAATTGAAACTGTGCTTGATGGAAGATTACTTGGTGTTCAGTTCGATCAAACTTTGAGCTGGTCTGCATATCGATCTGTTGTGTAAAAAGATATCTCAAAGATTAGGAATACTACGACGAATACATCACCATCTGCCACTAAACGCTCATAAAGCCTTCTACCGATGTTTAATTCTCTCCTTGATGGATTACTGACTTACTGTTACAAGTGTGATTTGGGGGAATACATCTACCCAAAACTTGGACAGACTTCATCGTCTTCAGAAGAGAGCTGCCGGACTGATTTTAGATTGCGATCATAAGACACCCTCATTTTCATTGCCTTTATTTTTGGAACTTGGATGGCTTCCAGTTCACAAGAGAATACGATATTTCCGTGCCAGTACAGTTTATAAAGTGTTAAATAATCTATCTCCAAGTTATATTACTAGTTTACTTTTACCTTTTAGCAAAGTACATAATGTAAATACTCGTAGCTTTACAAATAACAACTTGAAGCTTCCAAAAGTGAACACTAATGCTGGTGAATGTACTTTTGCCTTCTTGGCAGCTAATGAATGGAATCTATTACTAGCTGATAGTGTGAGATACCCAATATCATTTTCCTCATTTCGTAAAAACTACTTAAATTAGTTACTCTTTATATTGATATTTATAGTCTTAGTATTACTGTCGATGCAATAGAAGTGTTGATAAAATATTGCATCAATTAATTTTCTCAAGTTTATCAATTCATACGAATTCAAATTTCTTTTTACGTCCTGTGCGTTTCGTATTGGTCAGTTCTGAAATGAAATCTAATTGGCTCAGTAAGTTACAGGAAGTTGATCAATTTTCTATCAAATGAATTGATCAACTTGAGGAAATGAATTAATGCAATATTTTATCAACACTTCTATTGCATCGATAGTAATAATATATTACTTAGAGCCTAGATGAAAATTACTTTGTGTAACTCTAGTCACCCTGTTTAAATAAATGCTACTTCCTGCAGTATATTGATGGCAGGTTACGAGTCTAAGACCTTCCTCAGGAAGGAAGCAGTCCAATCTTTTGGAGATCCCCTGCATTACTTCAGTCCTATTTTCAGCTTGTCCAAGTTATTTTGTACATTGTTGGTCATCGTTCCCAAGGCACCTATGATGACTGGCAGTGTAAATACCTTGGTCACTTCCCCTTTCCATACCTTTGGTAACTCATATTTAAGGTCTGTGTATTTTTCTATCTTTGTCTTTCCCTCTCCTTTACTCTTGTGTCAAATGGGCAGCCTACGTCCACTATATGGGTTGTCTTCTCCTCCTTGTTCAATATTACTAGATCTGGTTCTTTTACTTCTTTATGGAGAAATCCGATAGAGTTTTTACTTCATCGTTCTCCAATACTCTGCTTTCCCTGTCAACGTGGTGGTTATAGCTTTTTTCCGCATACTCATTATTATTATCATTATCATTATTATTATTATTATAAAGAATTATTCAGGGAACAAAATGAACATTTCAACTCAGTAAAATTTGTAAATCTTTCGATTAGTTCTCTTGGTGTTTTCGGTAAAGAATGTTCTACTTTCATAGAAATGCTTAATGATTTTGGTTTTCCAAAACAACATCAAAACTACTGTATTAGAAGAATGACGACGATTGCAATCCGAACAACGTATTATATTTATATATTTTGTTGTTGAAACAAGGACTGGATGAATCCGGAACTGTTTACTGTTTAAACGTCGTACTGTCATTTTGTTATCTTAATAGTTATTTTGTATTTATCATCAGTGATTAAGTAGCCAGTTGTAAATTACCTCATATAAGTGAGATTTGCAATTGTATATATAAGCTAAATATCCATTTAATAAAGTTTTCATTATTATCTTAGCAAAGCATTTTTGATAGCTTGCCGCACGAATTACTTCTAGCAAAGCTTTGGCCCATCTAAATCAGTAGTAGAGTACTCAGCTAATCAGGAACTTCGTCACAAAATGACGAGGAGTTAAAATCCTCGATAAAACTTCTGACTGGGTGGAAACGAGCAGAGGGATCCCACAGGGCTCTGTTTTAGGACTTCTGCTTGACTGCTTCAACAAACGCCATCTGTGAAGCTTCTGGGGGTTACGTTAGATAATAAGCTTAATTTTTATGACCATATTGCAAATTTGTGTAGAAGGGTAGGCAACAAGTGGCAGTTCTAAATGGATTTAACATTTAAGCAATTGATTCCTTTCGAATCAAACATAAGACTGATAATTCGTTTACTGAGGTGGCTGAAAAATAACCTTTCGAACGGGGGGGGGGGGTCAAATGCCGTCAAAACATTACTTATTTTTCATGCATCGAGTCTACTCAGTTTATGCATCGAGTCTACTCAGTTTATTATTATGACAAGGTTGGCAAGACTTTTAACGGAAATTTATTACAACGTTTACTAGAGTATGAATATTTCGCAAATTACAAACAAAAACAATATAAAATCTACATCATTTCAAACACTGGTAATTTTACTACATTCTCTCAAAGTTTTAACTTCAAAAGTTCATTCTAAGGTTGTCATAATAATAAACGGCTTGTCATAATAATAAACTGAGTAGACTCGATGCATGCCCGAGCGCCACGCGCGAGGGTAAAAATTACAACACGCACTTTTGGGCAGCTGTGGTAGAAATATTTATTTTGAATTTTTGAAGATGTCGGGTTTTGCTCGCACGCGCGTGTCACGTGCTATACTTGTGTTTTTGTGTTTGTTAAACTTTATTGAGTACAAATTAATTCAACAAATATTCATCTAACATACAATTAAAAACCTTTTAATTCGCAGTATACTGTATACAGGGTGTCCCAAAAACCCCAAAACCACTGAAACAACGCACTGCCAGAATCCGAACGCCTCAGCACCAACTGAACGCAAAGACACGTAAATATGATCGACATGATGCATATAATATGAGTATTGAAGAAATTAAAATATCTTTGTAAGCTCACGATTTTCTGCTCTTTGGAATTTAAAGCAACTTCTTAAACAGTTTCATGGCCAATAAGGAGTTCCTGTAGCCGGGATGACGTCAATCTCACGGTGCACTTTGACCTGTAGAATCGATTACGGCTATCCTTAAAACAGGAATTGGGGAATCCGGGAATTGGGGAATCCGGGAATTGGGAAATCCGGGAATTGGGAAATCCGGGAATTGGGAAATTGGGGATTCCGGGAATTGGGGATTCCGGGAATTGGGGAATCCGGGAATGTATTGAATTGTATAACAATTTATATAAAGAGTGTACAAAAGGTAATCCAACTTTGGCGTGCTTTTTAGATTCCCATTATAGACAAGCTAAATTTGTTCTAGGCAAGCTAGAAAGAACATAAATTAATAGAAAGAACATTTGGTTGCGAAATGTTGTAAAATGCGGAAAATATAGGGATTGTGTGGCGTTTAATTAATAACAAAGCTATTGACACAGTACTATGCGTGTCACTCGCAAATGTAATATGAGATGCACTGATATCTTTCTAGATCAGACGGACATATATGACCCGAAACCTAACAGAATGTAGTTAAACTCCAACACCTTGGCTTACACAAAACCTGCGCGATTTTTAGTTGTTTAATTAAAAGCAATCCAAAATATGGTAAAGTATTCAATAATTTGGGGTTACAAAGTATCCGTGAATGAAAACTAAAATGCGCCTGTTTGCTTTAATATTTAACATGTAGCGTGGGGTTTTTAATGTTAACCCGTCTCCTTTATGATGCATGCATTTTGCAGTCTATTAATTCAAAAAACTTGCGCGTTGGAACAAAACTAGATAGACGCAGCTAATGTCTGATTGAAATTAATAAAACTATATGATTACTAGAAAAAATTCATGATTACTAGATTACATCGAGATATACATTATCACATAGATAATACATTTATCATATAAAGCATGAGCTATATATATAGCATGAGCTATATACATAGATAATACATTTATCATATAAAGCATGAGCTATATACTGCTGATTTGCAGTGTATACTGTGTGTTTATCGTCTGTATTATTCTAAACAAATGCGTTTTCCAACAAGCACACTAATCCCCGTCTCATCAGCTTAATTAAATATAAATTAGTATTATAAATTATCACGATTCCTGGATTCCCCGTTCCCCTGTTTTATTCAAAGATAGCCATCGAGGGGCTGGCATTTCCAGAGTCATACGATACCGAACGTCGTATTGTTTTGACTTGTTTAAGTTGTATTTCCGGTTTGGTCAGCTCACTTCGAGCTCACAGTCGGACCAGAAATGGAATTGGAAATACCGTGATAAAAGATGCAAATTTGAAGATACAAGCTTGCAAATAACACTCTAAATAGTGTTTGTGATAGCGATTCGAACAAGACTATTACAAAGACGATATGTTCGAGGGGCCGAAGTTTAATATGTTCGGCGAAAGGTATGGCTAGTCTATTTTTGTTCAGACAATTGCATAACTGTGATAGTATACGATTTCGTTTGAGTTCAAAGGCCCATAAATCGCTACAATGTTGATAATGATTATAACTATCATGAGGAATTAGTTGATCTTCTATCTCTGAATCGAATGGTGGTATTTCTGTCTTCATAGCGTGCACTGAACCGAATATATGAAAATGCCGAAGATTTGAAAATACAAAGCCCTCAACCTCTATATGTTTAATATGTATTACATCTGTTCAAGACTGTTTTGATCTTTAATCTGACTTGTGAAAGTTACAAGGAAACTCCAAGGATTTGACCGTTCTTATTGCATGCGTCGATTCCAGGAACGAAAAATTGAAGTGTGTGTCAAGTCGACCTTGGAGTGTCAATATCTTATGACCTTTCTTGGAATTCTCACATTGATCATATAAATATTACAGCTAGAACAACCCGAATGCTTGGATTTTTAAGAAGAAACTGTTCAAAAGACATGTCTCGTAATGCCCTTAAAGTCCCTTTAAAAAGCAATTGTTAGATCTCGTTTCGGTTATTGTAGCCAATTGTGCCCCCCTCTCAGTCCGTTATTCGTAATATCTTATTGCTAGAGTCTGTTCAACGTAGAGCAACTAAATTTATATGGGTTGACCTACACCGAAGGACTTAGCATAGCTTATATTCAATTATACAGATGTATTTACGTAAAAGTCCAAGTTGTGATTGGTTGGATCTGTGAAATATATGCTAACGACTTAAAGCAACTTAAAATTACTCAAATTAAGCGACCTAAGTGAAACTTAAAATAATAGGCCGACTATTTGCACACATATAATTATAGTGATCTCTTTCTCTATGATACCATAACAGGTTGTTGGTTAAGCCTGGTTCACATATGCCGGCGACGTCATTGTTTACAGCTGTTGATGCATACATTCTTTTGTGAATTATTTGGTTGAACTGCTAAAGACAATAGCCCGCCGACACACCGCAGGCATATGTGAACCAGGCTTTACTTCTGCCTTGAGTTTTGTAAATTGACACTCGATAAGGATTTGACTGGCAGCCAATGAGTTATTTTGACCGATCGATTTTGTCGACCATGGTAAGGAGTAAACTGCGTTTTGGCAACAGTGCGTGCTGGATCTGCAAAACAGCTTGTTATGATCAACTGGAATAATATAACTAACTCCCTTGCTTGCCATGGCCCATGGTTTAGTTATTCGGTTAAGTTGTTGGGAAACCGCGCTACAGTATAGTCTAGAACTCCTCGAAACTGTTCACGCCAAACGGCATGAAACTTGGTTTATTGAGGTTGTAATAATTGTAAACAAATATACTCAACACATGTCGAAACACAGAACATAGTCTTAATCTGCACATATTGTGATATAGAAAAATTGCAATTTGCATGTTATGATGCTAACTGATATTATAATACTCATTGTCTGTGTCGATGTTATTGAGTCAATTTCTTTCTCCATAAAAACAACATTTCAGCAATATATGAGAATACTATATTAGCAAAAGACCAAACTCTGCACATATTCACATATGTCATTTAAAGAAGTAAATCATAGGAAACGATCAAAGCATTAAAAATTGAATGATAAAAAATTCCTAAATCATGGAGATTAGCATGCATGCATGCATGCATGCTAATCTCCATGATTGGTACATACATGCATGCATGCATGCATGTATGTATGTATGTATGTATGTATGTATGTATGTATGTATGTATGTATGTATGTATGTATGTATGTATGTATGTATGTGGGATTTGCGAAGGCGAACATATTCAAAATTCAAATGATCGACAATAATTTCTAAACAAGTAAACTACATGTAGATAAAAGCTAAAAGAAGTAGGACGTTAAAATGCCACCTCGTCGTGTACGAAAGACTGAAAGAAACGCATCACATTGTAGGGTCGCGGTCGTGGAAAGGAACTTTTAAATTAAAGCAATTACCTGATAAAATTATTCGAAAAGATGCTCTAAATGTTTAGGAGGGCGTTCAATTCGGCTTCAGCATTGCTCTCTTTCACTGACTCGTCAAAAGCAGCATTTATAATTTAATAATAATTGATATTTTAACAAAGAAAAGCACGTCACAAATTGCATTTATGTTAAGCATAGTAAGATTCACAATGATCATGTTGTCATCCATTTTTCGCCTTGCTTTACCGCGTATCTATTATCTATGGTATCTATACGTTGGCCTCAATCTCAAATATGCCATTAAAATATTTGATTCAATTATAACTGCTATCCTAGTATACAACTCGGAAGTATGGGGGACATATACGTGATAAATGATTTCAACATTTGGGACAAATCACCAATTGAAAAGTTCATCTTAAGTTCTGTAAAATTTACCTCGCTATCAGTAGGAAAGCAAGTAACATTGGCTCCAGAGCTGAGCTTGGAAAACTCCCTCTCATCATGAACGTATATAAAAGGGTCTTCAAATACATCACTCACTTAAACTCTCTTCCCCAAACAACCATTGCGAAGCAAGCTTTTCTAATCGCGAAAGATCTGCACTCCAAGCAGAAAATCTCTTTTTACGGAAATGCAATGGATACTATCAAAAATTTAAATCTAAATGAAGAAATCCTTAATTTGGAAGCCGTAGCGACTGAACACATTAAAACTATTACCAAAACCCTTGAGGAAAAATACTTAACATGTTGGAAACATAAACTTGAAAATTCATCCAAACTGACTTTCTACTCAACATTCAAAACGGACCACAACCTCGAAAACTTATTTTTACTTTATTTAAACGACATGCGAGATCACTTGAAAAAAAACAACTCCGTATCTCTATATGCAGACGATACTCAAATTTCGTCTTCCTCATATGATTTTGAGACATTAGCTCAAAATTTAATTTTTTATTTATTTTTTATTAACTTAACAATCGCACGATTGATGGAAAGGACAACAGAACTATTTGTTCCTTATTAAGTCCCACCAAAACATTTACAAAAATTACACTAAATATATAATTACAATCACAATATATCATGAACTATGACTATGATAATCTAAATTATATTCAGAGGTGGCTTTTAAAAAATAATCTTCAACATCATCCCACCAAAACAAAAGTCATGTTTATTGCGTCATCTTATAACCTTATCAATAAAATTTGAAATACGCCAATATTGATGAATAATACCCCAGTCCCTCCAACCAGTAAATATACATGTTTAGGGATGGACATTGACGAAAAATTAACTTGGGATGCATGCACACTTCGATTCGATATGTTGTAAAGTCAGTGGTGGAATTGAGGCCATGAAACGTATAAAGCCCTTTGTCCCCTCTGCAAACAATTTACAAAGCATTAATTCAACCTCCTTTGATTATTGTTCCCCTTTGTGGGATATCTGTGGGAAAACATTTCAAGATAAACTACATAAATTTCAATCCCGTGCAGCTAGAGTTATTACTGGAGTCAGTTATGATATTAGGTCTACTGATGTTTTGGATGCTCTCGGTTGGCAAACACTTGATGTGAAACGTTTAGAAAGTAAATTAATGATGATGTACAAAATACTTGATAACCACACTGCCCCTAATCTAAACGAGTGTTTCTGCAGAAGAAACACAATTCAGTCTAATTATGATTTGCGTAGTAGCGATACGGACCTATGCCTAACTAAGCCTAATAGTGAATTTTTAAAGAAAAGTTTTCGATATAGAGGTGCCATGCCATGGAATCATCTTTGTGAGGATTCAAAAAATTCTGAAACCCTTTCTTCTTTTAAAAGAAAAATACGTCCGGCACGAACACCTCACTGTTAATTTCGGGGAGTTACTTTAACTCCGCTGGAGTTATACTGTACCTCAATTAACTCCAAATGTGGAGTAAAATTAGGTTCATGCATGCAGAATAATACCACTGGAGTTAAATTAACTCCTTGAAAATGACAGTGCTCCTTTGGATCGCTTTTAAAGTTTTTATACAATTCCTACTTTTCTATTATCCTTTGCTTCCTTGATTTTCTATATATATAGTTTAACTTGTATATGGTTTAATGTGTATATATTCTTTAATTTGTAAATAGTTATTGTGTGACGCCCCTCATGAAAAGCAGTTCACGTTGATCGAGGCTGGCGTGTTTAAATGAAGTTTTACCATACCATACCATATACCATTACTTGTGAAAGATCCATACAAAAGAAAATGTCTTTCAAGATTTAGAATCAGCAACCATAACCTCCAAATTGAGATCGGGCACTATCAAAATATACCGCGTGAAGAACGCTTATGTAAAATCTGCAATTCAGGAGAGGTGGAAAGTAAAAAACCCATCTTCTATCTTGCAAAGCCTATGAGCAACTCGTCGGCAAACCTTCGAAGTTCACTAGAGAATGCTTCATCTGACGAGATTAATCTAAACTATCAAACTCTATCAGCGGACAGAATAGCCTGCGAACAGGCTCAAGCTGAATTGAGAGCCTGCATCGATGACTAATGAATTTGAATATCTGCGTCTCAAATCGTGACGCGAAATTCTCATTGGTCAGATGCTATAATTTATATGTTTCCGCTGAGCTCTATATATGTCAACTGCTGAAGCACTATGCATAAAAAACACATTAACTGATCAAATTGGTCTTGGCCGTCTTATCTCAAGGCACAAAATGTTCTGTTTTGAGAAAACAGTATTTAAAACATTTGAACTTTTGCTTGAATATCTTATATTTCGAAAAACAGTATAAACTGTACGGTCTAAATTTAGGTTGCACGGTCTAAATTTAGTTTGCACGAAAGTTGTAAACAACACCATATAAGGATAGACATTCCATATTTGGAAAAACGAACGTTACGGGGCAGATATTCAAATTCATTAGTCATCGATGCAGGCTCTCAATTCAGCTTGAGAGCCTGTTCGCAGGCTACGGACAGAATGAAGTCAACTGTAGTGAAATCATAACCAAACTTTCAAAATTTGTTTACTCATGTTTCGAGCAAAGACTTGAATACCTTGAAACCGGCATGTAGTAAAACACTGACTACCGGAACACCACCTAACCCCAACACCAACCCTAACCCCAAACCCTAACCCTAACCCCAAACAAAGTGGTGGTGTTCCGGTGTTCCGGTAGTCAGTGTTTTACTACATGCCCTTGAAACCGGGAATGCATGCAGATTAGCAAAGGTTGTAATAACCACCTTATTTGTAAATAGCATACTTGTCTTCTTTCTGTCCTCTTAATTCTTCTTAATATTGTATTAGTCTAGTATAAATCATTCCACAAATAGTAATCTGTAATAGTCCTAGTTTATCATAGTTTCTTCTATATATTGCATGTTTGTAATGCTTTAGTAATACTGTAAATTTATGGTCATGCTATAATAAAGCTATTAATTACCTATTATACGTTACATAATATCTTAAAACTGTATGCAAATAATTCAATGCTTATACAACAGCATTCAAACGATTCTGTGCGCTATATTTTACAATAGCTATATATAAACTAAAGACATCATGAGTGATCATGGAGACAAATAATTATCATATGGCTAACACGGCAAGAGGGTCCGCATCCAATAAGAATCACCAATTTTGCGTAGCTTGAATCACGATAATGATATTAATGAGGCTTTACGTTCGCTTATATACTGAGGCAAACTATCACGATCGACTTGTCCAGTTAAAGCTATTAGTAAAGTAGGCATATATACTACAGTATAGATTTATCTAATTATACTTAACTTTTCTGCTGGAGTTACAAGGCGCTCGTCTTTAGGTCTGTATTTACGACAGAACTGTACTTTGAAAACTTCCAGTTTTATAGATTCTTATTTTGTACGTATTGTAAATATTTGGAATCTAGCAGTTCCTTAACTGAGTTCAGAGTGAAGTTGAAAGAATTCTATTTTGAAAGGCTACGATCAGTGTTTGATGGGGACAACATCAGGTCGTACAAAATTATTTGTCCAGAATGTCAATGTCACCACCATGAATTTATTTACTTATTGGCTGACTTTGATTGTTAGTGTAATTGTGGGAGTGAAGCAGTTAACCTTGTAAGGGACTTCGTGTCCTATTGTTACTCTGCCTAGTTAATATAATTGTTATTCTGCCGTGTATAAAAAATAGTATAGCTTTTCAAATTTAAATCAAGCATAATGGGACATGTCAATGTACGAACAACTCAATGAAATACCCTTTACAGTACAATGAAGTTACAATTGATCTCTTTTGTAAATGAGACTTATTTTCCTCGCGTATCATTAGAGAGTCATTGTCAACCACAGCATATTGTGCTCCCAAACCTGCTTGGCGGCCATTTTAATGGCGGAATAATATCGGTTTCGGTTTCAATCCTCTGGTTTCATCCATAATATATTACTACCATGCATCCTTCATGGCGTTCCGTTCCGGTCAAAATTATTTCAAGTAAATAAGTAATAATCAAACATATCAACATGTTATAACTCTCAATATAATGTTGAAAATATCAAGATAAAATTTAATTAATAATTAAACTAAAAAAAATAAATAAATAAAACGAAAGTTTAAAGCATATATTTGAAAAATGCAAAATACATTTCAAACCTCAAAGGATATACATGAAAACTAAACGCAAGTCCTATAACTAGAAATTAGTATAATATATGGTATAATACGAACTCCCGAATGATAAGTCAAAGCCGCGGCTCATAAAAGTACATCGAAAGTCAAATATATAATAAATCGAAAGGAAACGGAAGTAAGCAACTTAATATACAGAGGAAGTCAGGAAACGGAAGGTAACCACAAACATTGCTGAGCTCGTCTTTTAACAATAACATTTACTATGATTCAGCCAAATATCTTTCTCGCCGTCTGGATATTTACGAAAGAAATATAAATGTTCTTGTACTAATCTATAGCCAATCCTGGGTGTTATACGATACCACGAACAAGTAGATCAAGATCATTGTCCCTTATGATAGAATGTGATGAACGTCGACGTTGTCGTATTGTACTCTCAGATACTCAAAATTTCTTGCAATTTCTGCCCAGGAAAGTCCAACTTAAGAATTGAGAGTTTCGATCACCTGTTGTTATACGTACAGTCTTGGTCTTCCTACACCATAAATGGTTAATATTCCCATTGTCCCATACTTGCCTGAACACCATACCGTGGTCCTCCAACAACGGGCGAAAGGAAAGTGCTTCGCATCTTTCCCTTTGACGCACATGAAGGGTGCACATATCTGACAAAAGTTGTTGTTCTAGAGGATATTAATCCTTGTGAGATTGAGAAGAATATTTATCTCGAAAACATCCAGACGGCGAGAAAGATATTCGGCTGAATCACAGTAAATGTTATTTTTAAAAGACGAGCACAGCAATGTTTTTGGTTAATAATAATAATATTAATATATTGCGCAAATTAACATGTTATAGTATATGATCAAATGCGCATCACAAAACATATTTGCGCAAATTAACATGTTATAGTATATATTATTTTATGTTCTATGCTGAATGGTTACTAACTAAAAATATAAACAAGATTATATACCGGGTATCCAAAAAAACTATACCCTGTTTGATTTCACGTAACGTAAAACCTATAAAAGCTATTACATTAAAATAAAATAAAAAGCATTGTATACACAAAGGATTAATTTAGATTTTGATATATATAACATTTAATTTTCCGCGCGATGCTGACAGACCTATTAACATTTCAAAGTTGAACTACCATTTCTGAAAAGGTCAAAAATAGCATAAAACAGTATATCAAATTGTTGATTATTTTTATTCTATAGCTAAAAGAATGCATTTATGTACAAAACTACAAAAGGAAGTAACTATAATATGAGTTTACTCATCAGGAAAAGCGTGTCTTTGAGCCTGAATGTATGCACCGTTGTGCTCTAGAAATCATGCTATCAGAAGCGTTTGGATCATTTGTTGATCCAAAGATTCTTAGATTCACAAGCAGAAATGATTGCCTCATGCAATTGTCTAAGATTCCTTGGCTGCTGAATACCATTTGTTTTATTCCTAAGAATCAATCTTTAAGTGTACTTAATTTTTATTTTTACAAATAAATTTGGAAGGGAATAACCTAAAATTAAAGATAAAATCACTGAAGTTAAAAAGATTCCATGTAAAGTGACAACTGCTTTCAATTTAGTTTGATGCGGTGATTTTTGTGGTTTTTTGGCAATTTCTAAAAGCTCCTCGCAACTTCAAACACTTGTATTTACGTCAATATCGCACGGAAATTAAATGCTATATATCAAAATCTAAGTTAATCCTTTGTGAATACAATGGTTTTTATTTTAGTGAAATAGCTTTTATGGTTTTTACGTTATTTGAAGTCAAACAGGGTATAGTTTTTTGGGGGGCACCCGATAGATTATATGTTACATGGAGTATTTACATTAAAGGCTTCTTCAAAATACTAAGTCTTAACTAATTTCTTGAAAATACTAAAGTTATGCAGATTTCTTATATTCATAGGTAATTCATTCCAGATTTTTGGAGCGGAGGTTACGAATGCTCTGTCGCCGAGTGTTTTCTTTGTTTTTGTACTATAGTCTTCAAGCAATGTGCCTTCGTTAGATCTTAGACTATAGCACAATGTCTTTCTTACTTTCAAAAGATTGACAAGATAGAGAGGTGCATACTGATGGATACATTTAAAAGCAAGCATGGCAATTTTGAACTTGATCCTTAATCGAACGGGAAGCCAGTGTAGTTTGATGAGAGTCGGAGTGATGTGATCATGTTTAGGGATAGAATAGATAAGATGTGCTGCTGTATTTTGTAGCCGTTGTAGTTTAGACAGATGTACATCTGTGACACGAAATAGAAGACTGTTGCAGTAGTCTAACTTCCGTTTGCTGACTTCTTCTTTCTGTTTGCATGAAGACTGTTGCAGTAGGTTAACTTCCGTTTGCTGACTTCCTCTGCATTTTAAGTTGCGTGCTTCCGTTCCCTTTCGATTTATATCTTTGACTTATGAGCCGCGGCTTTGACTTACCATTTGGGAGTTTCGTATTATAAATTTCTAGTTAGGACTTGCGTTTAGTTTTCATGTATATTTGAGGTTTGAAATGTATTTTGCATTTTTCAAGTGCATGCTTTAAACTTTCGTTTTATTTTTTTGAGTTTGAATTTTATCTTGATATTTTCAACATTATATTGAGAGTTATAACATGTTGATATGATGTTTGAATATTACTTATTGACTTGAAATAATTTTGACCGGAATGGAACGCCATAATCCTGCGGTTATAACTAGCTCATTTAAACTTTTTTATACTAAAATTGCACCAAAGAAATGTTTATAATCGTCATTTGTTGCTATTTGTCACTTTCGAAGTTAAGATGTAATCAAATGCATTGTGGTTGACAATGACGCTTTAACTCAAAGCAGTTGAGAACCATCGAATCACTTATAATTATCGTTAATTTGAATTTGAAAGGCTATACTTTTTTTTATACACACTGTGTACTAAATTTAATAAATTCAAATTTTACGCAATTCAGCTAGTATTTTGAGCTGCGATGTAAAATCTTATGAAACAATCTATCTATATATTTATTTATCTATCTATCCAAAACGCACTCAAATGGCAACACGCTAGATATGTTTAATCGCGCTCGCAACTCGCCGAGGAACAGCCAAGCAATAATCGGCCTGAGTATGGCTTTCTATATGCATGGTTTATTAATATTGATCATAGATGTAATGAAACAGTTAATGTATATATATGTACCAACCGTGCTCGGTTTTGTTCATTCCAATAGTTCCTCCAGTGTGTATGACTAAAACATTCACCCATTTTCCCAGCTCAGAATGCGAGGAACAGCTTTGTAAATTCATTTTTGACTCACGGATACTCCGTACGAGTATTTGTGAGTCTTTGCTGTCAACTACTTTTTATGTTCATCCAGCCTGCTTTGCGCACCTGGAACCGGTCAGACCGGTTTAGAATGCTTCACAATTGGTTGCTTTCACAACGCCACGGAATAGAAAACTACCAGAAGCTTCACTGCACACTTTTCCCTAACATTTTTGTATCCGCGATTTTCGCCTAGCGGATCACGAATTGCGCACGTTGGATATAGATTCATGTCTCGCTGTTCATGAGTTAGGGTTAGCGGTTAGGGTTAGGATAAGAGTTAGTATTGATAAATAGCGAGACATGAATCTATAACTTGCACGCTAAATGACGTGTGTGACACTTGCTGGGAACATCACGTCAGCGTCAAATCAATCTTTTCCTCGTGATATTCACGTGTCTGTGACGTTTGGAAAATCACATTCGAGAACACAACTGTTCTAACTAATCGGATGTTTGGAAACCCAGGAACTACAGGAACAGGAATTACATGCAGGAGCTACTGAGTACTGGATTTTCAGGAACAACATAAATCATAATAATTCTTTAATTATTCAGTCTGAGCAACTGGATTGGTGCTTCCCTCTTAACCCTCTTTCTTATAGCCCAATCAGAAGCTTTGTTTACAAATCTTTTGTGAGTTTCAACTTGCAATTTGTTCGCGTCGGTTGCAAATTGCTCAGAGCAATCTGTCGAGAGTCGACAGCAAAAAAGTCGAGAGTCGACAGCAAAAAGTCGAGAGTCGACACCAAAAAGTCGAGATTCGACAGCCAAAAGTCGAGAGTCGACAGCAGAAAAGTCGAGAGTCGACAGCAAAAAGTCGAGAGTCGACAGCCAAAAGTCGAGAGTCGACAGCAAAAAAGTCGAGAATCGACAGCAAAAAGTCGAGAGTCGACAGCAAAAAGTCGAAAGTCGACAAATGTCATCAAAAACAACAAAGTCAAAATATTTTTAATACAATATATAGCCGTTTTGTAAAAATATTTTTAACAATATATAAAACGGAATTTTGACAGCCAGCTCCGGGCTTGTAACTTCGCTTGTAACTACCGTCGCTTGCAACTGTAAAGATGAACGGTCGCAAATGAAACATTGGTTATCATTGTTCTAGACTTTTTGCTGTCGACTCTCGACTTTTGCTGTCGACTCTCGATTTTTACTCTCGACTTTCAGATACATTCAATATTGTGGGGCAATGTTGTTCACAAGAGAACATCCGATTTGACTGTAACGAATAATTAAAGATTATGATGATTTATGTTGTTCCTGAAAATCCTGTAGTTCCTGTAATTCCTGTTCCTGTGGTTCCTATCTTATAACCGCCCTACTGGAACAAATCTGATCATTCTGACGCAAGATCGAGTCCTGCTCGTTGGAATACAAGCACAGGCAAGCTGGTGAAATATATTAATAAATATTTTGCTTGGTTTTTGGAATGGCTGCTGAAGATACTGCTTCCAAAGTTGCCAATATGAACATCAAAGGTGAGTTTCTTTCTCATTCAGCTAATTTTAAGTATTAAAATGCTGAAATAACCGTTCGTGTTACATGTAGAATACAATTTCCGCTATTCTCCCAAATGTTCAATACGTGTATTTAGTACTTATATAATTTGAGTAATTCTGTGGTATTAATGGTTTGTGTCACACATTTAGTAGCAGTTACGCTAATTTACAATGCGTTTACAATAAAATTATAAGGATATATGAAATTAGGCACAGATCCATCTTACTTCGCCTTGAGTGTTTCATTTTAATTGGCAAAATGAATTCCACACCCGACAATTCCTCGAATTCGAGATCAATAAAGTAAGATCTGAAGCGTGATCAGTGTTTGCAGGAATGCATGGTCTTTGGTTGGCCTTCGTTTGAAAGAGGTTTACACGGAAATTTTCTTCCCAGAGAACTTATATTATTTATGATACGAAGACGAAGTGACTAGTAAACGGCCACGTCCATATTCATATTGCAACAAATATAACGTCGAATCGACGTTATTACTTCACGGGCCCACGCCAGATATAACCTCGATCGATATTCAGTCGTATTTATCGTATTTTGACCGCTAAACTCACAATTATTGTACTTTAATATGGGTTTTCCGCTCGTATATGTTTTCGTATATAAACTGGGATTGTATTTTGATATAATATTTAAACAATGTACGATATTCGGTAAGTGCTTAAAATATGTTTTAAAATATTTTTCATTTGTATTTCTATATTCAATTATATTTTTATATGTTAGTATTCTAATACAAAAGCTGTAGTCCTGTACTGTGATAGTTACTTTGGACATTAATTGTCAAATTGCCACGTGTAGTGGGGCGGTAAGTCCGTAAGTGAAAGTATTGTGGATTTTGTGAAGAAAGCACCATATTGGCGTATTGGCATGAGGATGTGTATAGAATTTGACGCAAGTATGATTTTCAGATATGGAGGCATCTGTGAAATTAGCGCTTAAATAGCCAAAAATTTGGAATTTCTGACATTTTATTATAAATTTTCATTACGGCTCAAAATTCAAAAGTACATCACAAAAAATTAGTTCTGTGGCTGCGAAGTAGCCGACAAAAATTGTCTGTAGAACATTAAAGCAGTTTTTTATTGCGGTTGCGAGTTTGTTAGTTTGTTACTGTCACTACTGTTAGTTTGTTCTGATCAATACGTTTCCTTAATATCCTAGTAAAAATCCCTTGCACGTGCTCTGAATTTATTCATTTTTATGCGCCAAACAAGGACAAAAATACCACTGTTCGAATAAGCGTAAAACGTTGTATTTATGGATGGCAAATTGATTTCAAAATTGATTTCTGTTTCAACGATTCATGCATTTCATGGCTTTTGAAAGACAAGCCGCTCAAAATAATCCTTTGGCATATTTTCCGAATTCCTTTTTTTCGAGGAAAGTTTTCTTGTCAAGTGATCTATGGGCTCAGACCGGGAGAACCCGGGGGGGCCCAACCCCAATGGGCCAAATGGGAGCCCCAGGCTCTGGCTGTAGAGCAAATACATTGGCCAGGGCCTCTGATATGTTACAATGTCGTTTTCTGACCATTAGAATTCTGTAAAATCTCTCCCCAAAGTCCGGGAAATGGCATTTCAGAGTGTCTAGATTCAAACATTTTCCGGAAAACTCGTGCATATACGGCGCTCAACTCGTGCGTTCGGCATTTCTACTATCTGGGGGAGGGCCTTCGAAAATTTTGAACCGGGGGCCTCCTGATATAACGTTACGCCACTGTCCCTTATATATACTCATATACTATAATAATATTGGTCCCATTTTACAATCCATTATTTGTTGAGTTTTATATAAAAAAATATATTGTTGTGCAGAAGGTTGAGCAGTGAGAAAGCTCGAGAGAACTTGAACAAGCACTGATCAACCAACAGAACTGGGTTGGAGATTTTTAAGAATCTATGTATTCAAATGATTGAGTGAAAAACGAGATATGGCTATATAAAAATAAATCATAAAGTATATTATACTCAATATTTATGAATATGGGACCTTAGTCTAGCCTGAAAAATAAATAACGTAGCAGCTTCGGTTATATATTTATCTAGTGAGTTCCAAAACAATGATCCACTGTGTTTAAGAGTTTGTTTTCTTGTTGTTGTTCTGACTTAATTGGTTTATATGAACTCTGTTGGCATTCCGCGTCTCGTAAGAGTGAATGTTCTTGTTAAGGATGAAGTAATTCCTAAAATATTGCGGGAAAATTGAGGACTTGTCAAAGCATCTATACATAAAAGAACCAGTTTGAAATTTATTAATGGCATAAACATCAAGTAACTTGAATTTTGAAAAAAGTGGTTCAGTAGGATCTCGATATCCAGCATTAGCAATAATACCCACTACACGTTTTTGCAATTTCATGATTTCATCAAGATTAGTAGGATATGTTTTAGCCCAAACTATATTACAGTATTGATTATACGGTAACACCAAGGAGCAATATAAAGTTCTTCTGGTGGGGCTAGTAATAAAATGCTTTGCTTTGTTTATGATACCAATAGATTTTGCCATCTTTAGGGCAACGTGTGAAATATGTGGTTTCCAGTCTAGATGTTCGTTTATATAAGTTCCAAGAAATTTAGTGGTAGCTAAACTTTTTATTTTTATTTTTTTTCAATAAACACTTTTAGATTGTTTCGACTTGGAATAAGTTTATTTCTTGCGCGAAAAATGATATAATTCGTTTTCTTTAAATTAAGTAAAAGTTTATTTGCTTTAAACCAGTCCGACAGTTTATCAAGTTCACAATTAACTTTACGGATGAGTGTGGCAGGATCTCTGTCGGAATGATATATACTAGTATCATCAGCAAACAGAATAAAATTGAGAAGATTAGAGCAATTGGCAATATCATTAATGTAAAGAAGAAATAAAAGTGGTCCAAGGATAGAACCTTGGGGAACACCACATGTTACAGTAATTTTTGAGGAGACCATCTCACTAAATTTCACAGTTTGTTTCCTATCACTTAAGTAATCTTTAAACCACAAGTGGAGTACCTCTGATACCGTAATGGTTTAATTTACTTATAAGAATTTTGTGGTTCACAGTATCAAACGCTTTTGATAAATCAACAAATATGCCTACAGTATATTCATTGTTATCAATCGAATGAGAGAGACTGTCGATTAATTCAATTAAAGCCATATAAGTTGAGTAATTCTTTCTGAAACCATACTGATTGCTGGATAGGATATGCATTTTATCCAAACATGTTAATAATCTGTTGTAAATACTTCTTTCCAATATTTTTGAAAATATTGGAAGAATGGAAATTGGTCTATAGTTACCGAAAGATTTACGGTCATCAGATATGTAAACAGGGGTTATCATAGCCTCTTTTAATTTCTCAGGCACTCTGCCAGTATTCATGGATTTATTGAAAATATTTGACAAAATAGGAGCTAATGGTACAGCAAGTTGTTTAATAATAAATGGGTCAATCAAATCGATCCCACAGGATTTATTAGGGTTAAGTTCTGAGATAAATTTAGTTATTTCATCTTCATTAGTACAAACGAGTGCATGTAAGATCCTTTAAGGTAGTGAGTAAAATTAACAGAAGTATTAGGAATTACTTTTGCTATAGACAAATACTTTGCCAATGTTGGCAAAGTATTTGTTGAAAGTGTTGGAGATTATCTGAGGGTCAGCAGTCTCAGTATCATTGAAATGGAATGATTCAGGGTAAATAGTTTTAGATTTTGGTTTTCGAATAACGTCATTAAGGATTCCCAAGTATGCTTCAGATCAGATTTAGCAGATTCAAGTTTCATTGCAAAGTAACGCTTTTTTTGCGATTTTGAGAAGATGATTCAATTTGTTCCTATATGATTTAAATTTTTGTTCAGTTGGTGAATTCCTTTCTTTTAAGAACTTTTTGTACAATTTGTTTTTAACTTTAATTGATTTAATCAATCCTTTTGATATCCATGGTTTACGAGCCCGCGTTTTCCTTATTTTTCTTTTTTTGAGTGGAAAAGATTTGTCGTAAAGGTCATTAAACTTATTAAGAAAAATATTATAGGCAATATTCGAATCAGTGCATGGATTCATAAACTGCTTGCCAATTAACTTTAAACTTATCAATGTTTTTTTGTCTGTCAGCCTAGAAGTGGAATATTTGTTTGGGGATAGATGACTTCTTGCTTTTAGGTCTGAAATATGAAATATAGGTAAGTGGTCAGAAATATCAGTATCAGTAAAGGTATTGTTAGCTGATCTGAAAGATTCAGTATTCCTGGTACACATGCATTTTAACAGAGAATGACTGTAATTTCAAAAATTAAATATGCATATCAAAAACAATATCTATTTTTACAAAAACGTTTGGAAACATGATCTAGTCGTCCAGCTTGATGTCATATTCTATTTATTTGGATATTTCAATAAAGGAAAGTGAAATAATAATTGAAACTTGTCCAAAATTTGATACCAACACTCAAGTGAACAGATACTCCTAGATCACCTAAAAATAAAAAAACAGAACTTAAATTTAGCATATAATGCTATGAAAAATAATATATTAGATATTACAGACTATGATAAGAGGATGGCAATATATGACAACATCAAATGTTACCATCTTCAGTGTCCAAAAAACGTGCCGCGTGCATTTTTCGTGGTCCCATAACTGGCATTGCCACAAACCCAGGTGAAAAAGCAATTAGAAAAACCTGGTTTTGGATGATGAGCATAGTCAAATTCTTGACTTAATATTCAATTTTCTAAGTTTTTCCAGGTAAACAGATTCAACGTTGAAATAAGCCCCATTCGGGACCTCATAGAATCCAAAATATTGTGTATGGACCAGATTTTTTTTCAATTTTCTGTGATTTACATAACACTAGTTATAATTTAAGGGTCAACCAGTATTTTTCACGACATATTTTCCTTCCTGAACACATTTTCAAAATACTAACCAAAACATATCAAAAATAGTGTACATTTACAAGGGCAATTTCAACCCTTTGGCACATTTTTCCCATGAATGATTTTAATTCTAATAAAAAGGCTATAGATAAAACTCATTTTGATTTAAAGATACGGTTTCAAGTGATGAGCATACCCTAATTTTAAGCTATATGTCAAACATTGAAATGTGGATATACTCACAGCTCTGTCACACGCACGTGTAGTTTGACATTAGCAGACCTTCTGAAACATTTTAATGCGGAAAGTATAATTCACATTGTCACTTCTTAACATCTGTCTTAATCCAACTATAGCTCTGTAGGCACGAGCAAAATTTAGTGTTGATGTGAATATCCATTTAGTTCATGTTGCCCCGGTGAAAATATAGTCTATTCCAAAGCTGATTTGGCATGGTAGACTTTACGGGTAGCGGATTGCGGAGTGCGGATTGCGGATGCGGATGCGGATTGCGGATGCGGATTGCGGATTACGGATGCGGATTGCGGATGCGGATTGCGGATGCGGATTACGGATGCGGATTGCGGATTGCGGATGCGGATTGCGGATGCGGATTGCGGATGCGGATTACGGATGCGGATTGCGGATGCGGATTGCGGATGCGGATTGCGGATTGTGAACCCATGCAAATCGTTTATTTCTTCGGAAAAAAGCCACAATAATTGCCTGAAGCTACTTGTAGCAATGCTAAGCCCCCTAGGAAATGGCTATATATGTCTTGGTTATAACGGAGTATATCCGTGTTAGAATATTTCGACAATAAAGAATAAACCAAGTTTGAATAAAATGAAACACTCAGACATTCAAACATTTCGTAAGTCACATCGCGTGTACGGCGTGTATGGAGCTAAAGAATTCATTGACCGATGACAAATAGTGACAAAGAAAATATAGTGACGTTTAGTGTTTACTGCTAGACGTACATCCAGGCTCTAAATAGTTACTTTCAAGAAAAATTAGGTAGATACATAGATGTTTATTTACCCTAATCACCACAAATGTTTAAGTTGTTAATAAACAACCTCAAGAAATCGGATTTTGTGCAAGGCTGATGATATTCTATTTATTTTAATTAATATTCTGGAGGAAACACAGTGAAGGTTAGTTTTTATAGTGAATACTATTTATCAATACTGATTACTGTTGATTTGAAACTCGATTTTGATAATTATACGGTGTCGGTGAAACGAGGACGCAAAATCATTGGACAATGGCGGATTTTCAAGAAAATCATTATTTTCAAAATAGGCCGTTTCAATTTTAATAAGTTTTCGTTTCAACTGTGTCTTTAAAGGTTTATAACTATATATTTTGAAAGCTTCAAATGCGTGTGTTTATATGCGCAGCAAGGCGAGATTTTGAAAATGTAATAGATATTTTTGAATTTCCGTGGCATAACAACAGTTTGTTGCGAACATTTTCTCGGCGAATTTTCTACTAACCTGAATATAAGTCCAACTAAAATGTAGGCATTGTCATAAGCTTTCAAACCATCCGCGTTGGGGGTGTATGTCGTTAAATTTCGAATTAATATAAGCGGTTGAACCTCATGCCTAAAACCAGACATTATATTGTCCGACTAGAATGTGTATTCCGACGGCAATTTTTACACCCTCGTTTAGGCAACGAATTCTCGCTCAATATTCTAGCTACAATATTATAGCTCGTACCAAAATGTAGCTGAATTCACCAGCTATCTGACAATTTACGTAAAATTATTGTACCTGTAATATTCGCACAGATATAGTCGAATAAAAGTCGTATGTTTATGTTGCATTAAACTTTCTAATTATAATTCTGGTTTCAAATTTTGTTTACATTGTGTGATTTTGACCCCGTCGTTTAGACAACGTTTTCTCGCTCAATATTGTAGCTACAGGAATATAGCTCCCGCTAAAATGTAGGCATTTTCACCAGCTATCTGACAATATGCGTAAAATTATTATACTTTTAATATTCGCACAGATATAGACGAATAAAGTCATGTTTATGTTGCATTAAACTTTCTAATTATAATTCTGGTTTCAAATATTGTTTACATTTTGTTATTTTGACCCCGTCGTTTAGACAACGTTTTCTCGCTGAATATTGTAGCTACAGGAATATAGCTCCCACTAAAATGTAGGCATTTTCACAAGCATTCAAACTATCTGCGGTAGGGGTGAATATCGTTAAATTTCGAATTAATATAAGCGGTTGAAACTCGTGCCTAAACCAGACATTATATTGTCCGACGGTAATTTTGACACACCCTCAGCTGGCCTCAGCTCGTTTAGACAGCAAATAAGTTTAATGCAACATAAACATACAACTTTTATTCGACTATATCTGTGCGAATATTACAGGTACAATAATTTTACGTATATTGTCAGATAGCTGGTGAATTCAGCTACATTTTGGTACGAGCTATAATATTGTAGCTAGAATATTGAGCGAGAATTCGTTGCCTAAACGAGGGTGTAAAAATTGCCGTCGGAATACACATTCTAGTCGGACAATATAATGTCTGGTTTTAGGCATGAGGTTCAACCGCTTATATTAATTCGAAATTTAACGACATACACCCCCAACGCGGATGGTTTGAAAGCTTATGAAAATGCCTACATTTTAGTTGGATTTATATTCAGGTTAGTAGAGAATTCGCCGAGAAAATGTTCGCAACAAACTGTTGTTATGCCACGGAAATTCAAAAATATCTATTACATTTTCAAAATCTCGCCTTGCTGCGCATGTAAACACATGCATTTGAAGCTTTCAAAATATATAGTTATAAACCTTTAAAGACACAGTTGAAACGAAAACTTATTAAAATTGAAACGGCCTATTTTGAAAATAATGATTTTCTTGAAAATCCGCCATTGTCCATTGATTTTGCGTCCTTGTTTCACCGACACCGTATAATTATCAAAATCGAGTTTCAAATCAACAGTAATCAGTATTGATAAATAGTATTCACTATAAAAACTAACCTTCACTGTGTTTCCTCCAGAATATTTAAAATAAATAGAATATCATCAGCCTTGGCAGCCTTGCACAAAATCCGATTTCTTGAGGTTGTTTATTTAATATTAACAACTTAAACATTTGTAGTGATTAGGGTAAATAAACATCTATGTATCTACCTAATTTTTCTTGAAAGTAACTATTTAGAGCCTGGATGTACGTCTAGCAGTAAACACTAAACGTCACTATATTTGCTTTGTCACTATTTGTCATCGGTCAATGAATTATTTAGCTCCATACACGCCATACACGCGATGTGACTTACGAAATGTTTGAATCTGAGTGTTTCATTTTATTCAAACTTGGTTTATTCTTTATTGTCGATATATTCGGCTGCTTCATTGTAACACATATATACTCCGTTATAACCAAGACATATATAGCCATTTCCTAGGGGGCATAGCATAGCTACAAGTAGCTACAGGCAATTATTGTGGCTTTTTTCCGAAGAAATAAACGATTTACATGGGTTCACAATCCGCAATCCGGAATCCGCATCCGCATTCCGCATCCGCAATCCGCATCCGCAATCCGCATTCGTAATCCGCATCCGCAATCCGCATCCGTAATCCGCATCCGTAATCCGCATCCGTAATCCGCATCCGCAATCCGCCCTCCGCAATCCGCTACCCGTAAAGTCTACCATGCC